TCGAATTTCGCTCCGAATCGTTTTTAAATAGCAATGGTCAATCGTTGCTCACGGGTAAAAATTAAACAACCTAATACATCCCACCTTCCCATGTACCTATCTACAACTGTGGCCGCACCCATGGTTTTTTTTATAAATATTTAATGTTCAGAGAAAAAAAGCAAAGTCAATTAACCACAATAATAATAATAATATTCAATTAGTAAATGCGATTACAGCCTGCTGCATAATTACAGATAGTCGGAATAGTAATTAGTGTAACATTATTTTTATTATGTTTAATATTGACTGTGAATTTTCTTCGTCTGAGTTTAAATAAATTATAAAAATCAAGAATTTATTACAAATTAAAATTTCCGGAAGAATAAACTCTATAAAATGGCTATTTTCAAATTTTTTGAAAATGATAAATTAATAAATGTTTTTTGTATGGCTATAAAACGGCAGTAAAAACGTGTACGACGATTACGACGATTTTCAGTTTTCGATTGATTTTTCCCGTTTCCCGATTTCGCGAAACGAGCGTAAAGCTCCGTTTTATTCGCCCGGATTGTAATTCGTCTTGTAATTTTTAAAATTTTTTAGATTCCAGTGGAGCCAGAATCGTTAAATTTTTTTTTTTTTTAATCTATGAACAACTTTTCTACCAGCCATTTTGTTCCGATTTCCAATCGCAACACTTTTTCTGAAAGGCAATCTGACTAGTCAGATTCCATCTGACTATCCTAGGATATCCTGGGATTGGTAATTTTTGTGGTTTTTCCAGCCGTTTTCATAATGAATGGGAGAACCGGGAACAAACGTAGGAAAAACGGGAAAATAGATACAATAATATATTAAATAAATAGTACTATAGAAAATACATAATGCATATTATGTAATTGTTTTACCGCAATACATGCGACATTTATATTGTTGGAGACATAGCGACACAGCAATATTGACCGAACTCCGTCCGGAATCGTTTTTCGCTACCACCGGTTAATGGTCGCCTGCACAGGCGATACATCGGATTACCCCGACCCTGCCAAATTTTCACCTGCAACAGCGGCGAAGTACGTCCGTCTTTTCATTTCTTTTCTTTTTTTTTTACGCTTATTTTCACAGACAGTGGCGTCGTCGTCGTCGTCGTTCCCGGCCCGATCCGTTACCGGAACGGTCCGTACCGTAAACGACCGACCGGTCTACGGGCCCCGACGGACGATTTGGCGGTGTGCGGCGGGGCGTTCGGCTACAGCAGAACGGAGGCGTTTTGCCGGGGAGAATTATACGACACGCGAGCCGCGCGCACATCACCCGCGCGCCGCCGTCTTCGGCGGAGTCGTTTTATTCAAACCGTAAAACGATATAGGAGGCACCTGGCAGCCGCAGAACGCCGGTATATTATTATTATTATTATTATTATTATTATTATTATAATGCGCGCGCGCGGTGTCGTCGCGGTCTATGAAAAATGATCCCGGCCGACATTCCGACGGCGGCGGCGACGCGTCGTCCCCCGGGTGACGACGCGCGTGACGCCGGCGCGGGCGGGCGAACACCCGTTAATTTTCGTCCGGTAAGAAAACGCGCGAGCGGGCGGGCGTCAGGCAGCTATTTATTCGGAATGCCATCCGTCTTCCCGTGGCGGCGGCGGAAAAGCAAAAGGCCGCACCGTCGCGCGCGACGCTCCGCGGCGTAGGACCGCGGCTGCGGCGGCCGCGGTTCCCCCGGTCCCCCTCAAGATTCGCCGGTGCGGTTTCGGTTTTCCGCGCGTCGCCGTCGTCGGCGGTTTATTATAAACGACGTCGAATCGTTCCGCGAGCGCGCGAGACGCCGCTGCCGGCGTACGGGCGCGCGCCCTTGTTTATATCGCGGAACCCGTTTTCTCACGATTTTTCGCCCTCACTCCCGTCCGTCCAGCCGCGGTGTCCGCGACGGTCGCGGCGGGATAGATTTCGCGTTTTGGCGCGCGCGCGTTGGGGGGCTGTTTCCGTTTTTTGCGCGAGCAGAGTACTCGTGTATAGGCGCCACACGTCCCGGAAGATCTTCGAAATCCGCGAAACATTTTTCGTTCACGAAACTACGCGCGTCCATTTAGGGTTCCGTGTCGAAATATCGCGAATTCGCGAGTATCGACGGAACATAGAAAAATATAAAACGTTATGTATAATAAAAACAAATCGGTATTTTCACGGGTTGTAGGCGCGTACGTGTTTAGCGGGGTATATCACGCGATGAAAAATAATTGCGAACCAAAAAAAAAAAAAAAACGATTCTGAGCGGAATTAGTCACGTGTTTTCGCCGAGGTAACCCAAAAAACAAACAAAAGTAAAAATAAAACGAACTACGGAGTGAACCGCTGAAAATGTCGATGAATATTTCAAACAAACTACACCAGAGAAAAATCCACACACTACCTCGAGTGGTTTATTTTCCCGTCGTGATTCCCTAGTGAACGGCCAAATAATGCCGTACCCAAAATGTCGTCGCGTTCGACTAAGTATTTTTCTCTGCATCGCAGTTGATAAACTTTATTTATTTTTTTTTTTTAAACGCGAAAAATCGACTACTTTAACGCCCGAGTTGGGGTATAGAACGCTAGACGTTCGCAATCGGTACGAGACGTTGAGTGTCTTTCGAAATATGGACAGTTTCGCCTCCGTCCGCCATGTACGCCGTTTCATCCCGTTTAGTCGATCAGAAAAATAAGTAAACCAAGGACCGAAAACGCGGACTTGATACTGCTGCAGACACGTGACGAGATGTTACGTTGTGACTCGTTTTAGTTTTTTAGCTTGGTCGACCGACCGGTTAGATTTTTAGTTTTTTTTTTTCTTTTTTGCCTTAACATTATTTGCCAATGTATCTCTTTACATATTTTGGTAATTTTAAGAACGTAATATTTCGTCAGTTTTTAGTGCACACAATTGCGTACGTATCTAATATTTCGCAATGTATTTATCAGTGAATTCATTTCACACCTCCGATTATAAGTAATACTGTATACATAGACTATGTAACTATGTACCCGCAGATAAGTGCTTACAAAATTAAATTTGTTTTTTTTTTTTTTGCACACAGTTCCAACAAACGTAAATCACGTATCGAGCAGAGAATAAATAATGAAAAATATTACGATACAATTTTTTTTTTTGTTTTGCTTGGGGTGTTGGACACTATAGTCCCCAGAACCGCTCCCGCCGCTCGTTCAATTGAAGCACTTGTTAAAAAAAAAAAGTTAATATAAAATATGCGAGAATATGTTATCACATATAGGTGCGAGAATTCAATTTCGAAAACAATCGTTATAAACAATTTTTTATCTCACGGATGATACGCGTAAAAGGAAACGTTATATGGCATTTTTAAATTTCCAAACGATTGCACACAACACTTCGGACTTTTTTTCGCAATATTTTCCGTTGATTTCCTGTAGCCTCGGTCCCGCGTGCACAAAAAACCGAATTTAATTATTATTACACGTCATTTATGAATTATTATTATAAATCAACGGGAAAAACCGGGATAAGATACCCTTGGTACCCTTTAAGGGTCACGGCGAGAACGGAAATACGTGGAAAATTGATTTATTTTTTTTCATTATACCCGTACTTAACCACTTTTTTGTTTTTTTTTTTTTTAAACATTCCAAATCGGGTCCGGGGTGTCACAGAATTACGCTGATACAACCGGGCCGTCTACCCATCAATCGCCATCCAAAAAACTTACGACAGCTCGTTTATAATAATCGTATAACCGTTTTACATTCATTTTTAGATTCCGAGCGTAGCGACGGAGCTATTGGTTTTACAACGCTGTTTATTTTTTCCTTGTTCTAGTCCGTGGACACGTTTTTTCCTAGTAAACTTGCATCGAATTTTACGTATAGCAAATTTTCTGAAATCTCAAGTTGTCTAGATGGTACTTTAGAGAAGTGATTTTACGATTTAATTATTTTATAAAAACACGGATTCTGGTTTTTTACCAGATAAAATGATTTAATCGAAAAATCACCAGAGATTTTTATTGTTACTTTTATGATTTACTTTTATTGTATCTTATTATTGTATTTAATTTTATTGAGCTTTTAAGGATTTTTAATTTTTGGGATTTTTTCGTTTTAATTCGATCATAAATACACGTAGAGACTTGAAACTCGGTAAAAGTACTTATATTGGATTTACCTAAAAGTGGTAAAATTTTCAAAATCATCTGATGACTTTGTTTTTATTAAGCGTTTTGAAATTTCAACAAAAAACACAAAAAATAATTAAGTATTACCATATAGCGCTCGGAGTCGTCTTTCGTCAAAAATGGTTTATCGTTGCTAACAGATATAAATGAAATAACCTTATGTATTTTACCTTCCTAATTTTTCCCAACAGTGGCCACACCCGTTCTCAGTACCAGTTCTTTTTAAATACGCTTTTTGAATATACATTTTTTTTAGACGCTGTCCATATAATATTAAAATGTACTTACAATAAATATTTGAGTTTTAATTAATCGCGTTGCGAAAAATATATTATTACAGGTATACTTTACAATGTGGCGACGAGAATGAAAACGAGTAAAAGTTTGCATAATAGTTTGAAAACTTCTAAGCGTTTATGTTATTATTGTTTTTTTGTTTCGTTAATAATCTTAGTAAGAGGGATTCGACTCCGGGGGACTTAACTCCCCCACCCCCTCCACCATGATATACGGTCGTTTTCGTATTGTACGCAACACGGTCGGTTCGCATATTATCGATTGCCGATTTCGTCACCCCGCGAACACGGATTTTCTTCTGTTGTAATATTATCTCCGTTAAGGAAAAATCTGAAAACCATACATTTTTACATACATATTTACAATATGTTCTATAATGCAACATCAATCATACCGTTTTCCCGGCAGTCAGAGCGACGAATAATTTGCCCGCTATTTCGGCGAATCATTTCGCGTTTACGTGACCGCAATCACGTATCTATACGACTGGTCGATAAAAATTTGAATAACGTAATTATCAAGTATTATGCCCGTAACGCGTTTACCCTCGACAGCGACAATCGGGGGTATTAACGGTTTCATAATAATATACGCGGTACGACGGTCGCTCCGGTGCCGGCGTTTGGATTTTTTCGAGTAAAAAACGTATACATTTTTGGGCCCGAAATATGTCAAACACTCCCCGGAATATGGTCTAGAAAATCGAGAAATTACGAGGGGAAACGCATGTACGGAATGTGCATTTGAATTTCAAATTTCATCTCTTGCCTTCGTCGTATTAACGGACGGCGAAGCGAGAAGTCCGACGGCTTCTCGTCGCTGTAAATTCCGATAAAGGTATTTTAAAAATGTTTACCGGGTAAGTCGTTAACAATCACTGTATGTATTAGCGAACAATTTTTTCCACCAGAAATCTTACTCCGATATTCAAGCGCGGTAGTTTTTTTGAAAAAATTATTATTATCTTGTTGGTTCACCGGGAGATTTTTTTTTCACATTTTGGCGACTTTTGAGCTATTTATGGGCCATTGACATTTTCGAGATTTTTCTTTCGTTGGTATATATTTGGTTTTACCAATCTATCACGTAACACATTATTTTGGAAAATATTAACTTTTTTCGAAATTTGTAAATTTATTTTCTAGACAATTTTAGAAACAAGCAGTTCGGCAATTTTACATTTACGTTTTTTTTTCACCCTAATTTTTGGGGACACTTCTTTTGATTTTCAAATAGCAAACTATATTAAAATTTCTATAAATAGACGGAGTAATAGTTAAAATAAATCTTGGTGTACAAATTTTTAATTTCCGTCAATCCGTTGATGATATATTCCACTTTTAAATTTGGGTCGGAGGAGAGTAGTGGAGCATCATTTGTGTGGTGGCACAGCGCGCGGTGCTTTAATAATGTACCACTACTCTCCCCCGACTCAAACTTAAAAGTGGAATATATTGTCAGCGGATTGACGGAAATTAAAAATTTAAACACCAAGATTTATTTTAACAACTATTCCGTCTATTTATGGAATTATTAATGTAGATTGTTATTTGAAAATCAAAAGTAGGTAGTCGTTTACCCTCAAAAACTGGGGTAACAAAAAATAATGAAAATCTTAAATTCTAGAAAACCGTGTTTCTTAAATTTTCTTTAAAACAAATATCGAAAAAAGTTAATACTTTCCGAGATAAGGAGTGGCTCATGATAGATTGATCAACCTGTATATAAAACTGTTTTGGTCGAGTAAAAAGACGTGCGCACTTTACACGAGGTTCTTTATAAGTTGCACTTAGTAGTTACAAGAAAACAGTTGAGCGTAATGTAAAATAGATTTTTTTCAAATACATTTAAAAAGTTAAATAAAATCATACAAATGACGCCATTACAAAACACGTGCAATCATACTACTCACAGAATCGTATTTAGTTAACAGTGATTTGTGTTTGGGCATAGAGATAAATTAAATACTTTTACGTACCCTAATTTCTCAATTTTCCTCCTACAACAGGGGCACATCCATCAGTAGTAGGAACTAAGTATATATATATATAGGTTTTTTAAGCTTTTTTTATTTTAGTTGTCGTCGGCCAATAACTTGACGTTAATATGTTACGTATTGAAAAGCAATTGAGAATTCGGAAAGGTAGAGACAGTATACTTACCTACAGTAACATGCTAGTTGTTAATAACTAATAAGCTATTTACAATACATCCGTTTACGCCTGTAACATTTTTTCTAATTTTTTTAAGACTTCTAAAAGATACGACACGATGGGTCAAAAATGCTGGACGGATCTCGGACGAGATATCCCGATTTCTTTTCAGGCGAAACCTAATTTATCTCTTTGCCCTCACCGCCACCACCGCCGGGGCACGTACGCTGTACGGTAGAGGGTTGGGCGGAAGAAGACGCGACGTCGAGTCGCCACGTGGCACTGACGTGACAGGCGTTGGACGGGAGAAGAAAAAGAATAAGACGGAGACGAAGAAGAAGCAGAAGAAGTTAATGGATTCTATTCAAAGGAGAGCAAGAGATGGCGTCCTAATGCACGGAGCGTCGCGAATTCATTACTTTTCGCGCGAACCGGCCGATTTTCGAACGTCAGATGCTGCCCGACCTTATAATATAATATATTGTTATTATATCCTATATTCCTTTATGTAATATCGTGTATGTGTGTGTGTGTGTGTGTGCGTATATAAACTCCGTCGAAAATACCTTTTTTTTTTATGTGTAAACTCTGGAAAAAATCAGGTAAAATGCTCATAAACAGTAACCGATTCAATAAAATGTCTTGCAATTTACAGACAATAAAAAATGTTTCATAAAAAAAAAAAATAATTTATACCTTAAACAAAATTAATTTTTGTCACTCTCGTTTTAGACATTGAGTGTTTTACTATAATATATTCGCATTTTTTTTCTGGAATGCTTATTTTTCAGTTGGTAAAAATGCTCCGATATTCGCCTTCAGTATCGTAAGAGATTTTCCGATAATCCCATTGCTTCGCATAGCATACGAAATATTTTGAAAATTTGAGTTCATAAAGGACAACTCTGTGCTGTTATTTTTAATATTTCAATGAATATACACGATTGTAAAACTTAAAGACAAGAACAAGATAATTGAATCTGTACAATTACATCAGTTTTTTTTCGCTATTTTAATTTTTAAGTGAGATACGACCCATATCATACCAGTGGGTGAATTATTAAAAATTATAAATGCTTTTTTAAAAACTATCAAAAGATAAAACCGACGTAGTTGCATAGATAATGTTCTTACCTTTTAGTTGGATAGTAAGCCAATTCACTATAATTCTAAAACTAATAGTACAAAGTTATCCCTACTGAACGCCAATTTGCTATATCGTGCGTTTGTACTACGAAGACAGCAAATGCGGGTGTACCGTACTCCCAAAGATGCAGATTTGCCGCCTGATTACGCTTAGTAAAGTATTTTATTTGAAAGATTTTTCGAAATTCCCATTCCGCAATTTTTTTTATTTTTATTTTTATATATAAATATATATACATGTATATCAGTTAGATCTTTTTCCAACCTTTTTATTTAATCGGTAGTTTGGCCCAAGTTTACAATCGTCCATAATATTACACTAGTGATGTGTTTTATCGCCGAGATTTTAAACTGTACGCACGAGAATCGCTTCTATCGCGTCGAGTACTCAGCTACGACCCGGTTAGATGAGACAATCGAGTTTTTTATCGTCCATAAAAATAACCGTTTTCCCGACCGCATGTCGTTTGTCTTAGATTACAGTCTTTGACTGTTTCTACAAAGGAATATCTGCAGTTGTACTAGTTTCAGTACCTACTCATACATTGAGATAATAAAACCGAAATGTAATAAAAATTGGTTATCTTCTCACTTTTACGAAAATACATTTTCCACATAAAAATAAAATTTAAATTAACATTGAAAAAACAATCTGTTATGAAAATTGCTTGAAAATTCAAAAAATGAACTCGTAAATGCACCAACTAGATCCAAAATTTCACAAAAAAACTATCATGACGGTGTTTGATTGGAGCAAGATTTATGGTTAAAGAGTTCTTCACAGACAGAAAAGAAAATCACATATTACAAAACCAATACGTTCCTCGTTGAGCTTAAAATCTAAAAATAACACAACGATCAGACGAAAAAAAGTATGATAAAATTTAGTGTTTTTTTTGATTTATAACATAATTGATTTTATAGTTTTTGGGTATATATATATAAAAGAAAAATATGGTACGTTGGAAAGATACGATTCATAAAGTTACATGTAGTATATGTTTGTTTGCAACGGTAAACCATTGCTAACGAAACACGATTTTAAGCGAAATTCCGTTAGACATGGTATAAATGCCATAATACATATGATTTTCATCAGAATTTGATCTTAAAAAGAATATAACACAAAAAACTACCACATAAGCTCAACTTTATTTTTAACACGTGATACATCTTAAAATGAACTTTGTGCTAAATTTTCAAATATTTTTGTATGCCAAACCGTTCTATCTACATAGTACCTGCCGAAAATAAATTATGTAAAAAGCTCATAAAATTCAAATGCCAATAAAAAGCTTAAAAACGGCTCAAATGTATTGAAAAAATGATCACGTTTAGAAAATGCAAATATAAGTTTTCTGCAAAAATTTGAGTTTCTACGAATATTTTCAATTGAATGACACGAATAAAAAATTTTAATAAAAAAAAAAAAATGTATGTTCGTAAATTTTACGGAACTAGTAAATAGTAAAACCAATAAATCCGTCGCTACGCTCGGAAACTAAAACAGAAACACGTAAATTTAATTGCAGTATTAAATACCGATTGCACCCTGATGGACGAGAATTGTCCCGAGTGGATTTCGTTGTTAAAGTTTACTAACCTAAATTATACAATTTTTAATAGTCCTTTATAATATATTTATATTCCATACACGAATAAAAAATTATTTTATTATGAAAAATGCCAAAGCGTCGAAGGAAAACTTTAATTCACGCAATTTTCGCATTACCCAACCAACCTCAAATCCGATTTATATCGTACATTAATAATGATTTCAGTCCGAAACGGTAACTATTTTAGATTCTGAGTGTAGCGAAGAATGCATTGGATTTATTAAGATGTTTTTTTTTCTTTTTTTATACTTTGTATAAAAATTCTATCAGAATCTTGCTTCGGTATTTACGTGCGGCACCATTTCTGAAATGAAATATTGTCCAGATTTGACTTTTAGGAGGTCATTTTTAGATTTTCCCAAGCAGTTTTCATGATATTTGGATAAAACTGGAATAAAACTTAAGAAAAACAGGGAATTTACGAAAATAATGCTTCTATTATTTTTTCAATTTTGTTATTTATTGTAATCCAGTTAAAAATATTTGTAGAGACTTGAAATTTGGACAGAACAGTTTTATTTACCTTTTCTAGATATAGCCAAATGTTCAAAATATTTAAGCCATTTGAGCTATTAATAGACACATTAATTTTTTTTCGAGTTTTATACGTAATTTTTATTCGGTAATTACTCTGTGGTAAAATTGTTAGCCTAACGAGAAATACTTGAAAATTTAACAGGATTTTCATTAAGAGTCTTACTTTGTGGTAAAAAAAAAATTGAGTTCTGTGTACAACGTTTCTACCAGAAATTTCGCTCCGATTAAATATGATAGCACTTTTTCTGAAAGTAAATAACTGAGAAGGTTCTTTATGGAGGTCATTTTTCGATTTACTTTTTTTTTTTAGGAGTTTTCTCATCAAATGTAAAAACCAGAAAAATCACGGGAAAACCGGGAAAAACGTAGGAAAAATAGGAAAATCGCTACAACATTAAACAAAATTATTAAAGAAAATATTTAAAGCCTATTTAATTGATTTATTATAAAATGACATACATATTGTTGAAAAATAAATTAAATTTCCTATAATAGTGGCTGTACCCGTCTCCAATATCCCAGTACGTCTTTTTAATCATTTTTTTCCCTGTACTCCAATCGTAATTAAAGTGAAGTATTAACGTAAAATGTTACATTGACACATTGAAAACAGATTAACACACACTTTTGAACAATGTCGTAAAAATTTAAATCGTCATTTTTTTTTTTTTTTTGTGACTTTACGAATTCATGAGAAACGAAGAGTGCGAAGATGGACGCGTGACCCTGGGATTTATGACGTATCAGTTAATAGCCGGCAAAGAAAATACAATATTCTATAGAGAGCTATATCATGTGGCAGACTTGGATTTAGTGATCATTTTCATTAATGGACAAAGACTGCATTGGCTATTACTTGGAAAAGATGAAGCGAGAGCGGCTTAAAGATGAAAAATGCCGCGTTTCAGTCCCGGTAAAGGCGGGTCGACTTTCTCAAAGAGGATTTAAACAACCGGTACGGAACGAAAGACCGCGTGGGAGACGTGTATAGTGGTCCAAGACTGCACAGACTGATGGCACGTGATCGTATCGCTTTGGCCGCTAAAACTTTTAGATATCCGTGTGAAAGACCGAACCCGGAAGAACGCGAAAAAGAAGATTGTCGGCATTGTTAATACCGAAACAATAAACCATTGATTAATTTTCGTCACGTAAACGCGACGATTTCAATAACATTGTAATATAGCATTATTACATATTCGGTTTGATGCTTGTCGATCTATCGAATACGCGAATTTCGTGACGAGAAACATTAACGTAAATTATTATTATTATTCGTATCCTAATAAATTCGCATGACTAGTACGAATATCACGCGTAATAATCGAATCATTAAGAATATCAAGTAATTATACCAATATGGTATTATACAAATATGATTATTATATTTAGGATTTTGTATCATTTTTTTCCGTTGATCTAAAACGAATCTATAATAGCTATAATTATGATTTTTTTATTCCTTGGGATAGAACGCACGAAATTTTATTTTATTTTTCCAGTTTTTTTTTTTTTTTTGTTATGCTTTTTGGAATTTTAGGTTGCATTTTTTGGTTTTAAAATTTTTTTTCTAGATTAATATAGCTGTCACTTTCGAATTTTCAAATATTTGGATACGTTTTTTTTTCCCAATTATTTTTGTTTACATTCAATTTTTATATATTTAATTACAATTTAAAATATTAAACTCGCTATGATCTGTTACAGGTATAGTTACACGCAATAATAAAAAAAGAATATCATACTTCACACGATGTGTGAGCCACTGTTGTAGGTGAGAACTTAGGAAAGTAGAGGGGAAATTTAATGTGCCTATACTTGTACGCAACGGTTAATCATCGCTAACGAAATACGATTGTGAGTGGAGTTAGGTTATACACGTTTTGAAAGGCCATAATAAGTATGTTTCGAAACCCCCGAGAAAATCAAAAAAAAAAATGATCCCTCTAAAATACCATCCCCGAGGAAAATTTCGTTTCAAAAAAATTTCTACACTTGAAAATCGAAGCAAGATTACTGGTAGTTGTAAAAGTTGTTCACAGATAAAAAAAAAATGAACATCATTGTAAAAATAAAACAAAACTAATACGTCTCATATTAATTTTGTTATGGACGTTTGAAAATATTTTAGATTTTTAGTGTTTTTTCAATTTTATAACTACTACAAAATCCTAACTCTAGTGATAATAACATGTACCAATAAACGTAAACGTATTTAAAGAACCGTTTCGTATACCTAGTATACTTATACGCCGTTCCGCTCGTATATAAATTACGCGCGTTATTGAACTTTTGTTGACTAGCTTTTGTTTTTTACGGTTTATGAAAATTATTTACGTACGTTTGAGTTTTATGGAGGAAAAAACGCGTCAATATAATAACAACAAAGCGGAAAACCGGGTGGACCGTGAAACAATAACGCACGTAAACACACGGACGCGCGGTTATTATAATAATAAAAATATTATAATGTACGGAATAAAAATATTCCGCAGAGCAGTCGGGTCTCGGTTTTGTGCACATCAAACCGACGGACGGGGTGTTATATTATTGTGCCCGGAGGTTGAAAAAAAAAAAAAACGAACTGGCCCGACAGACTTGACTTCCATTATAACATACATATATACGCAGAGTTTCAGTTGTCGGACAAACACATTTGAACGTTTTCGTCGCAAAAGAGCCGACAACAATATACATCGTGTATATAGCAGGGGAGAGTGGGAAACGGCGGTTTTCCCGGATAAAATTCGTTTTTTTTTTTTTTTTTAGACGTTTATTTATTTTTTTCATATTTACGTTGAAACGGTCCAAACACATTATAATAAATGATCTCATCGCACAACGAAATTCACATTTCTAAGATGTATGCACCTAATGATTAAAAAAATATTCATAACGCTATAGTGAAATGCCAGTTTACACTCGTAACACCCTATAAGTAAACAGATTCACTATCTTTATCTTTTATCCGGATAAAAATATCGGTTATCTTTCTCAACACTAAACAACTCAATTCTTAACGGTTATAGCGAATTTAGTAATCATTTAATATTCATGTGCAATGTCGTTTATACTCGTTATTAGTTAGGTATATAATATACGCATGCTTAATGCTCAATTCATACCTATTCTTAACAGTCTCGGTTATCAGGAATAGGATCGTTTGATTTCGAATTATTTAACAGAACTATTAAACGCATACATAATTTTTGTTAAAAAACTATATTGAAGCTGTATAATAATTATAATAGCTAATATATAGGTTACACATAAAAACATATTGTATTGAAATGTGAGTGTTTTAAAAGCTATGTATTTTTGAAACGTTAGTTTGAATAAGTGTTACACAAACGAGGGTTAGCAATGAAATACATTTCTAAGTAATGCAAATGTAAGAAATAATGATTTCGACGTTTGAAATCAAACTTTGTACATTTTTATTTTTATGCGTCCAATAAATATATTTGTCTAAATACACAAACGTCTGTGTTCATAACGCGTCCATGAAAGACCGCATAAGATACGGTGTATTATTTACCTTATCATACGAGTCTACGTGTAAAATCCCGTTTTATTCTAATTGATTATCTCGGTGCTTTCCAATCAACGTTATTACGAGGTTCGAATCTGACCTTCGTAGATCACATTTTTAGAAAATATTTTATCTTGCACACTTAGTAGCTTTTCCGCGACTATCTAGTAGGTTTTACACTATACAGATCGGGGGCGTAATTGAGCACTCTTAATTACACCTCTGGATCTTATATTTTTATATTATCATTTATTCTGCGCTATCAGTGTTTAAAAATTAAAATATTGTTCGACTTAATTGTAAAAATTATCCTTCTAATGTAAGCCTAAAGTGTAATTTGTTTTGAATCTTGAGGAAAAGCCCCCTCCTCACCCCTTAGATCGAATTCCTAATTATGACACTGTAACAGTTAATACACTAACCTTCTCAGGCGAATTTCTAGGTTTGGTCCTAGACGGTTGAATTCGAAAAAGTCTCGTAATATCCAATTTTATTTATTTATTTTTTTTTTTTTAGAGTGAACAGAATTTTAAGGAATCCTCAATTATAAGCAACGATGGGGTTGAACACAATCCACGTGTCATTATTTTATAATCAAATATTATATAATAACGGTTTTGGAATGCTAATACATAACTAATACAATTCAACGTCAGCCATGGCATTTTTTTTTCTTTCAAATAACAAAACACATTCATTTAATTTTAACTTTATGAAATACCAATAAAAAATTGTAATATTGAAGTTATGGGGACGATAATATGGTTTCGAGTATATCTGCGTATACCTGCAGATAATAAAATGAATTTGTAATTTCTGAATGTCGTTTGTTTATTTATTTCGAATTAATTTAATAAACTAATTTCGTCACTTACTTTTTTTTTCGTTTTCTACGTTGTGTTAACATAATAAGCAATTATTATACTAAGAGAAAAGACGTCGTTATTATTATTTTTTTGTCAAAATCAATAACTATAATTTAAAAAAAAAGGACGTAAAAATTGACATTTTAAATAAACAAATAGTTAAGTATAAAAATTCACACAACGGTGAAAAAAAATAAAACAAAATACACGTTATATTTTCTACGAACGTATATTTGAAAATTAATTGACATAGATACGTATTTTTTTTTTCACACCGAAAATAAAAGGTACAGATTTTTCGATGGACGGTACTTTATTTGAAACATATGGTTTCATTCTAGTTTAGTTTCTAAAAAGTTAACATATAAAAAAATACTAATAACAAATGACGATACCCCGGTTTTACTTTTAATAATATTTCTTTATTATCTTTATTACAAGGGGGGAAAAAAACCTCGGTTAACAATATATAACTCATTTTACCAAGATCCGCTAAGAATCTTTTTTTTTTTTTATTGCGACGACTTACCGTTGCTTTCGGTGTATTAACTAAATTATCATAAACCACATATCTTTCCAACTTCCCAACTACAATATATGTCTACCAATTGTGTAATGCATATAATAAGTATGTTATTTTTAATTTGTATAATAATTGCAGATATTATGCGCAAAGACCACTAGAAGTTCAACAAAAGTTTACTGTGAGTACTTGTGTGGACAAAAAAAGTTTTTAAGAGCTCCACAGTACAAAACTATAAAGAATTTCCAGTAAAATTCTGTACAAACAATTTGTCGTCCTAAATTCTTCTAGTAAAATAAGTTATAAAAAAAAAACCAAGAATGACATTAGAGTGTATGACATTGAGATTTAATACAAATAAAAAAGATTTTGGTAAACATTTCGTTTAATATTTATCGCCAATTATTTTCAACTCATTATCTATAAATATAAGAAAATATTTGTATATTTGTATTTATCAAAGTAGAAAAGATTGTAAAAGTTCGTTATTTTTTTTCGTTAGAAACAATTAGGAATTGCTATATTTTTTAATAAACTATTTTATATATTTTATGCAAATGTCATTAAACAAATTAAATATTATCAATATGAACTATGATATGTTTGATATTTTAAATTGTATGTACAAGTCACTTGTAACTCATTTACCCTTTCAAAAGCTTCGGTTATTGGAATGAATATGTTTATATTGTAATTATATTATTGGTATTTTTATTGATAAAAAAAAAAAAAAAAACAAAAACAAAACGAAAAAATGAGTTTTGATTGAACTCGCATAAAACCACACATGAATGATTTTTTCGTGATTATAATGTGGTTGTGCTATCGACGAAATCGACAACTTTTGAACCACTGTTTGTGGTTGTTAGAAGTTTGGACTATTGACGATGTAACCACACCACATCTATGAACGTTCTACATTGCTCGTTTAGATCAAAGATACTCCCACGATTTAGCTTTTATAATTCAATTACTACAGCTACTCCTAGTATAATCCCAAATGCGTGGTAAATTACGCACTACTTCGAATTTAAACAACTCTGCGTCAAATGAGCCGTCGTTTTCATTTGTTTCGGTCAGTATTTAGCATCAAGCAAGTAAATATTAACCCAAAATACGTTTGTACATGAAAAAAAAACCCCGAAAACAAAACTGAATTAACTTTTAATGACAAATAATACAATAGACAACTCACATAGCCATAGTGATAAGATAATAATAAATAATAATGAACAAGATTTCGTGCTGGCGGCGAGTGATCAGAAAACGGTCGACGAATCGCACAGTATGTTCAACTTTCATCCACTCACTACCAAAATTTTGTGGGCGATACCGTCAATACGGTGCTAAAGAATGCTTGGAAGTATTTGCATATTATTTTTGATGACACCTAACCTAGTACATTCCGAGTAAGAAACTAATTTTTTTTCAAACTTCACTGATACCACATACGAAATTCTTTATTGCTAGTTTTGCATATTTGGGACTTTTAACCTCTAGATTTATTTAGAAGCTATTTTGCTAGTTAAACTATTCCGATTTGATATTTAAATAACATGAATAAATAAATCAGAAAATGACTGACTTCTATTTTATCGGACAATTCCGTTTGGCTCCAATAATTTGGTGATTTTAAAATAGTACCGTTTTATTGTTTTACTATCAGATTTAATTCTGGAAAATATATTTTGTAAATTTGTCAATTTCCAGTGGTATTCATTGCACTTATTTTAGTTATTTTAAGGGCATATTAAATTACCGAAGTTTAACGTTTTTAATGCTGTGTCTTACAAGTCCTGGTCATAAATATATCAACCACGAGCAATTACTGTTTTGTGGTAATAGTGTAGTACTAAAATAGTGCACGTGAATTATAAAAATTATATTTGCTTATTCAAAACCTTATTAATTGTATTATTTTGTCGATAGTTAATAGAATGCTAATTATTATTTAATAACGAAGAGTGTTTATAAATATAAAATACTTGAACGTGATAGATGATAGTTCTGTACAAAGGAATAAATAACTAACTGGATTTTTTTGAAAAAATTCTTTGAAAATATACTCAAAACGCGTTAGTGGCGTTTAAATTTTAAGGACGTTTACATTTTCTAATATTAAAGGGGTTGAATATAAAAAGTTTTAACGAAAATATATAAAAAAAAAAAATAAATATTAAAATTCACTTACATTAGCTCGAAAACGATCGTAACTCAGTATTTCAAAATGACCAGAATTTAAACTCCTTTTTATTTCAGTTAAACATTTAAATTTAGTTTTTAAAAAAAAGAGAAAAAAATGATGAATCACGAAAGTTTTTGTTGGAAGAAGTCAGCTGCTTTTTAATTTAAAAATGGTCCCAGATCGCCGTAATTATTAATTGTATAATTTTGAAATTCGTTGAAAATATGTTGTATAAAACGAGAAAAAGTATCATTTAAAGTGGTTTTAGAAATTTCACTTGTTATGAAAAATAAAGACAAAAATATTATTCAGGGTGTTCCATGCGAATTTCGAATATTAAATCGAAGATATTAAATGACGATTAAAAAGTGGCCTTTTTATATATAGTTTTAAATACTCAACTTAATAGATGTGTTATTATATTATTTCTTGGATAAAGTTTTGTTCCATAATATTTTCACCGTGAGATTTTTCTATTTGTCCTAATTCAATTCATATTTAATTCAAGATAAAACGATTTTTGAACACGTGGATTTTCAGTTAAAAATGATAACGTTGATAATCCTCTTTAGGACCGTCCTCGCTAACATAGTCAACATAAATGTTGATTTTTAGGCTGCATCAGAATTGCATAACAAGAATAAAATTTTCGATATTCATGCCAAATCTTAGTGGGGTCTGTTCGAATTGTATGCCGTGTATATTTTAACTTATTTTTTTATTTTAGGATTCTAATTTTTCAGAAAACGATATCAATTGCAGTTGAAAAATTGCAGTTGCAGAAAAAATATTTATTTTTATTAATCCATAAAAGAATACATCGATTATATTTAATCATAAATTTATCTAATTTTTAATTACTACTTTAATTTAGTAGTTACTGAATTAAAATTAAAAGTAACATTTTTATAAATGGAAAAAAAAAACACTAAAAAGAAAAAACTAACAAAATTCACATATCTATAAAAAGCTCAAAAATCACTATAATGTTTTGAAAATGTTACTACATTTAAATAGTGCAATAAACTTCTAGTGTCAATTCTTAGTCTAAAAAAAGTGAAGTAGATAATGTCATTTTAATTTAGCAATTTAAAATTAAGTAATTGTTACAAATTACCCGAGTAAATTTATGACCAAACAAACTTTGCATATTGTTTGCGAATACATAAAAAAAATACATATTTTTAGACTATTTCGATTGGTTATTTTTTTTTTTGGCTTTTGAAAAAGCAAGTCTAAAATTAAAACAAATTAAGTTGTGACAAGTAAATGTACAACGTGGCATCCAATTTGGACTGACCCCTCTTTAACATGGCATGCAATTCGGATTATGTTTATTTTGTCGGCGTGCGGTTTGGATGCACCGGATTTTTTAAACGGAGTTTATCATACGACGGACGAATCTTGATCGGTTATTCAGTATGAAAATCAGATAATGTCCGTGACGATTATTAACTATATTTTATTAATATTGATAACGTAGGCATATAAATATATAAATGTATAAGCGAGTGCGTGTGTAAACATATAATTTATACATAGAGGTTTATTTCTATCGCCGCAAACGATATTTTTTATTATTTTTATCCAATTCACCTGGAAAAGCTTCCTGCGCACACTCGCGGCTCGTCTGGCGTAGAATTGGCTTTTCCGAAAACTATAATTTATAGACCGTTGATGTTCGCGACAAGTATCGCCTTTGAATGGCTGCGCGCACTGTATGCACGCGCGTGTACGCGCGCGCGTGTGTGTGTGCGTGTGCGTGTGCGTGTGTGAGAGAGAGAGTGAGTGAGAGGAAAAGGGGGGAAAAAAAAAAAGGTCAACCGTAAGAAAGAAAGAACGAGAACGAGAGAAAAATGGAGAAAAAATGGCACCGCCGAGAAGAGCGAGCGCGTTGTAACGCGTATAATACCGCGTATAGGTAAAATAAAATAAATAAAAATACATTCGAGACTATATAATATATATACATATACGTATACATATACGGGGGGGAAACAACACGTCTCCCGGGAACCGGACCGATCAATCAATCCGGATAACTTGCGTATGTATACATCGTGCGCGCATACACGGTCACCGGGAATCAATCCGCCCTGAATCTGTACCCGCCTGTAAAATACTATTACCGTTACAACTCGGCCGGGGAAAAAAAAAAAAAAAAAAAAAAAATCGCCGCTTATTGACGTTACGTACGCGTTAACAATAATAATAATATGATCGCGTAAACGTCACGTGTCGCGCGCATGTGGGTATTGGGTCGACGACGGGGAGCTCGTCGTTAGACCTCCGGGGCGTCACACCGCGATAACGTCGTCGGATTCCGAACGGGCCGTGGAACACGGACGGTATCGGTTTTTGGTTCCGGGGCGGCGTGACCGTCCCGGACCGTTCGTTCGGGCGGAGACCGAGGCGTTTTATTGTTTGAAAAACGATGCGCGCGACGTTCGGCGGGTAGTGGGAAAATCCTGATTTACGTCTGCACGCGATCGTTACTGGCGAAAAACGATTCTGAACGGAGTCCGGCTTCGCGTGTTTTGAATGGCCGTGATATGTACAATTTGAAAATGTGTAATACATTTCGTACGTTTTCTCGGTTTTCCTACGTTTCTTTTCGGTTTTTTCCATTTGTCATCTAAAACCCCGGAAAATTCCAAAAAATTACCACCTTCTTACCATCAACCCCGGAAAAAAATTTTTTTTCAGTTAAGGCACTACACTTGCAATTTTTTTTTTTTAAATAAATATGATTATAGATCATACTTATTACCACCTCAATTTTAAACTCACACTCGTTATTGGTTAATTAAATTAAATCAATTAATAACCAACTCGTTATTTATCAATTGTACGTTTAAAGTTAAGTTAATAAATAAACAAAATGTTTAAAGGTAAGTTAAAAGTCGATATGAACCTAATTAATAACTGTTAACTTTTTAATTCGTTAGTGCCCATCCATAATAATGCGTATAACTTAGTTAAAGCTGGTGATTCAAGTTATAATATGTTACTTTGTTTGTAAGCTATATCAAAAAAAAAATAAAATAATAATTATAATTAAATAAAATAGTATGTTAGAAAATAACCGAGTTCAAAAGATAATTATTTCTTTTGATGTACAGTTTTCAATTTGATTTTCATTAACACATAACAAGACGATCATGTGGACACGACCCTGCGTATGGTAATTCTTTTAAAGTATAAATATTAAAGGATACAAAATATGCTTATGAGTTAAGTAAAGGAGACTTAATTCAGGTTAATTAATTACCCCAAAATAATAAAAACCTAATTAATTTAATTAACTAGGTGTTCGAGATTTTATTTTCCTGAAAATTTGAGACTTAACTTATAGTAACTCAAATTCTGTTATATGTTTTAAAATTAATAATCAATTTTGCTTAATCTATATATATATAAACATATATGTATACTTTTTTGTTCAGGAAAATTGGTAATGAAAACATCGGTTAAATTTAGATCGGTATAATAGAAACTTTATGTTACGCGGCTAGGTGTCAAGGTTGTCACTGGCGGCGATTTTATCAGTTACGTATAATACACTGGCTACAGAAGTCCAGTGATAAAATACAGCGACAGTCCCGAGTTATATTTTCACGAAATTTCAAAGTGTATACATAGAAATGCGCAGTTCACAAACAAAATATCATACTTAGTGTTATTTATCGATGTTAAAACTAAACGACCGCTGTCGAGTTTGAGTAGGTAATAATTATTATCATCGTGTATTGTTTGGTATGCGTGTGGCAAGCACGTTAAAAGTTTGCCTAACAATTTGATAAAATATTATATATGTATACGGATGTGTTGAATCTGTACAAACTTGGACATTGCTGACTGCAGTTATATTTGAACACTGCCAAGTCAAATAATTCTGATATTACATTGATTAAATTAACAACGATGTTTACTTTAGAAATATAATATGTATATACGTATACAAGTAGGTATACCTATGTATGTAGACACGGTTAGTGGTTAGTGATTGATAAACGGGGTGTGTCTTTATAAATGACTACAATAGTAAACCGCTGTTACCCATATACGTAGTATAGGGTGAACAAGTTACAACATTTCTTATGTTTTAGATTTTGAGTACAGCGAGTAACAAATTGATATGACAATGTGGTTTTATTTTTTATTATTTTTTTTTTTTTTTATTTTGTAATTTTCATATGAACTTGGAAAACCCGGGGGGAAACGTGGAAAACCGGGAAAGAATTAAATTAACCATGTTTAGGCGCAGTCAAATTTCCAAAATATTCTGGTGATTTTTGACGAGTTGGGCAAATTATTTTTATTTTTTTTCTTAACATAGTTAAAGTTAAGTTAATTTAATATGAAAACTAAATAAGTTAGAATAGAAGTTGATTTCTAAAAATTACTTAAAATTCTTAGTTATACAGTTAGTTAATTAGTTTTATAGATGCATAAAAGTTAGCCGATGAAAAAAAACATAACTTAAGTTTAAAAAAAGTTACAGGTTAATTGTTGTTTTCATAATTTAAAAATCAGAAACTAAATTATTGGTGAAACTATATCAATCGAATTGAATTGATAGTTTGATCGAACGTTTCATACATTAACCTTAATGTGTTGCAAGTACGGAATAATATTTTATAATCAATAGGAATATCGACAGGAACGATATATAACGATTAGTATATTGTATAAATCAATTGAACAGGTTTTCAATTCAGATACATATAAATAAAATAACAATGCATATTTTTTCCCCTTGATTTGTATTTTGGTAGTACTTTGCTACAATTTTCGTATGTTCCGATAACCGATTTACAAAAATACTCACAAATTATGGTTTTTAACTTACTAAAACTCGGTCCAGTGCGATTTGGTCGATACGAGGGTCAACATTGCATGCGAGTGGTTATGTAGCGGGTTCAATGATATACTTTGCACCTGCTGGAGCTTTATTTCAACACTAAATTACTAAAATATATTTTATTATTATATGGTATATTTGTTTTCACTATATAAATATAATAAGTAGTATGAATAAGTCCCAGATTAAATTCTCGACATCGCCGATTATGCTTAATAAAATTAAGTGCACGGGGTGGAAAAAAACGGAGTGGATAAAAAAATATCCTTATGGCTTATGGTTTTTTGCTCGAAGTCTTTCTAAATATATTTTATAACTTGAAAAAAACTTTTTCTACTCTGTATTATGATTTATTTAGGTTTTTATTTGTATACCGACATTAATAATGACCTAGGGTACCTACTATAGAAATTATTCGATAAAGTTACCGTACCTATTATTCTTTTTTTTTTTTTTTTGTCAAAAACTTGACATTTTACCTGGACGAATTTCTCTAAAATAATACACTTATAGAAAGACATTTGTCTCGTGTCTATCAGATATTATCTATAATATAACCATCGTCTGACATCATAAACTTAAATTAAAATTATCTTCTATACTGCCTTTCTAAAAAAACAATCAGTGTTCCGATTTCTTTGTTTTTCAACTTCAAACAGTTATATTTTTTTTCGCATTCTTCCACTTCAATAAAAATCATAAATATACTTGAAAGTTTTATTTTGTTCTTAATCGATTATTTTTTTTTCTTCGTTTTAAGGAAACGGTTTTTTTTTCTCATTCGTATGATCGTTTGTTAAAAACAAAAATTTCAAAACACATTATTCCTACACAGATGTGATGTTTTGTCTGTAACAAATTCATGTGGCCGTATTACAAAATCATATTCAAACATATACGCAATATATGAATTGAAAAAAGATTTACTAACAAACTATAATGCAGTACGTCTCCGTTTGACATCCTGTTTTGTTCTCTAGTAAATGCTACCTTATCCCTCATCCAGTATATATTAGATGGTTTTTAGTCGATACGACATTTCCAAATAGGTTTTTACTAAAACATTTTTTCGGGTGGTTTTACCACTTTTCCTCGTAATAAAAAGGGACACAGAATTCAACGTTTCGTTAGGATAAACGGAAATGTCATTTTTGAAAATGTCACGTTCGTTAATCTCTACAGGAGGGGACGATTTTTTTTCATTCTGAATCCTTATCGGAATATTATCGGAGAAGTTCACCTATAATATTATAGAATATTAAATCTACGGTATTTCGTAGATTATTATTTTGGCATTCGTTCAGCAACGCAGAAACTTAAACACCGATCGGCAACGGTCTCGTGGACAGATCTGATAAATTACAACCGTTTATAATAATATATAGTTTCTGGATTCCATGTTAATACCGTGTTTTGACATCCATTAGACGTATTGGAGACGTACCAAAATAATATTGTCAACCAATTAAACATTAAAGAATCGCAGCTATAGCAATAAACATAATAATATTATGTAGTTGACGCTTAGCGAGCGATTTTCCAGTAAATTTCAAATTTTCCTAGACAGAAAAGAAAATTACTAAAAAATTATAGCTAAACAAAATATAGTAAATTTAACCATTTAATAGGTAAAATAATTAGAATAAAATAATTATTATGACTTTATAATTATAGCTGTTTGTAATGATAAAGTTTACTATATTTTATAGTTTCTGCGTAAATAAATGTTTGCATTGCCTAACAAATAAAGTGAATATAATTGTGTATTGTTTGATGACCGGTCGTGGAAATACGATTCTCCTCTATTCTCCGAACCTACCATAAATCATGATAGTATTAAGTAAGTATTTAATAAGTACTCTGTGAACAGACTTATACAATTGAGAGTATTATGTTAAAATTAAATATTATATTATTGAGCGGTTGTTAACTGTTAACGTATCCGGAATAACATTTATGCCAATAAAAATAATATGATACATTATATCTAATACACGAAATAAATATTTACTTATAAACAGTGAAACCCGTATAATAACTATGAGGTTAGGTTATATTTGGTTAGTTTTATTATTTTTTTCGAAGCGGGGCAGTACCACTCGCCCTCACATTCGCCAACCACTTACACCTCTCGTGAACGTTAAGATAAGTCAATATCAACTATTTAGATACTACACAATTGACTTGATAGCCTATATCTGTATACTCTTGAAAATATATTAATTTTCAATAGTTAAATAAATAGCCCAGTGGTTAGGTCGTTAGATGTTAGTTTTCAGATTCCCAGGTTCGATATCCGGCGGAGAATTCCATAACATATTCGTAATTATTTTATTTATTATCTTTTATTTCTCAAATAAATAATATATTACATTTTTATTATATTAAAGTTACCACAGCTTTAATAACGTAACTATAATAATATAGTTTTAACCACTAAAATTTTATCTATCCACGTAGTAATTATATACTGTTTTTAATATACAATTGCATGTTTTTTTTCCCCGTTTTGTATTGTACGCGTCAAAGCATAACAATAATATTCTTTGACGGTGAGAAGCTGGGCCCCGCCGTTACTCTGGAATCTAGTTCCCCGATCCATCTTTATTCTGTACCATATAAATGTTGTCTTTGTAAAATAATGAATAATCGAATACTATAATAGCGCAATAAACATAATATATAATATTTGCTATTTAATGCTACTACTATATACCGGTTTCAAAAAAAAATAATAAAAAAAATAACGGCGTTTTAGCATAAAAATGGTAAAGACAAAAACCCTAGGCTATCTACCTGCCTAACAACTTTACCTGCCTAGACTGACTCTACGTTTGGTCCAGATATAATCGCTAGAACTAGGAGTGTTCGAATGTAGCGGAAAAATCATTGGCGAGCAAAGGGGATTTGTAGTGTATGTGGCCACATACCTTGAACACTAGGCCAGGATTAAGGGGGGAGAATAGGGGGCTACGCCTTCGAGGTCTTTAAAAACAATATAAGTGAAATCAAATATTTGAAAAATATTGTCATTAAAAATGACATTTTTAATTAAACAGATGGTAAGATATTTAAATATCTGTGTATATTTTTTTTATCAAAGATTTACGAGCTTAAAATAACATTCATAGGTGTTAGTGGCGATCTTCTGCATACCCTGAAAAAGAGGCCTGCGCACACCTATAGGAAAAATAAGTCACTACATCGAGAGAATAGTGGAGCGTTAAAGTTATTGTTGAAGATCTCACGACCGATTCGCTCCGCAATAGTTTTCGAAAAATCATAGTGAATCGATTTGAAATATTCAAACATATCAAAATTAAACATCTTACGCGACTGTCCACGAATAATTAACTACCCGAAAAGATCAAACACGAATTATATTAACAAATTAAATCCTTTACCATTCAGCATTTTATTCAGTTCTACATTCAGACATAAATTGATTCCGACTCGTCACGACGTTTTTCAAATTATATTGGATTTGTTTATATATACTTGTATATAATATTTATATACACGTATATTTTAGGTCAAGTAGTATTGTCATTGTTATAAGTATACACGTCGTTTAACTGTGTGTAAAAAAAAAAAAAAAAAAAATGTTTTTATGTTTTTATTTAGAATGCGAAAAAACCGACATTATTTACGTACTACGTAGAAAATAACATGAAATGGACGAAAAAACTGTTCTAGATGAAACGTGACGAAAATGAACTATACGCACGAAAAAAAAGATTATAGCCTTTTTAAAAAAAATAATATAATTTCGCTGAAACACGAAAAAATATATCGCTTAAACCTACTAGAAAAACGCGTTACACATTTGACATATTAATAAGTGAACCCGAATTTGAAAAAAAATTAATTGTTTTAATAAACGATACGGTTTTCTGGAACCCCGAACAATAAAAATGTAAAATATTATTAGGCCGTCCGTAATATTACGAGTACAAAACAAAGCGTACATATCAAAAATTTAAAATGAGTTTAAAATCGTTATTATGTAAATATTATATAATATAGGTGTACATTTATTTTTTTTTGTACACTCGAGTGTTTTCCGTTTCTTGCATATCAGAAAAAAAATTATAATATTTCGCGTGCGTGTTTAACTCAAATTATTATAATAAAATTCACGAAATACTGTTAAAATATTAATATTTAATCGTTCATTATCCCCCGTTTTAATAAAAGAAATGTGAATTATATGCTAACTAGTCGACGGTGTTTGCAACACTGTGGGTTTAAAGGCTATTTGTTTTTAAAATTTTTTTGGAAATAAATTTAAAACTGCATTTGGCCTCCGTGATAATGTTAATTAGAGGAGGGGGGGAGAGAAAAAATTGCATTAGTTACCTCCGCTAAATTTGTCTACTGGTAAATTTTTCACCTCGATAGTTCACGAAGGGATATAATTTCTCGAGTGGATTTTTTTTTTCGGGGAGGATTAAATACCGCTGGGGTAAATTTCCTCGGTTGTTCCAGTTTTATCGCAATATTATTGACGAGCACATTAAATTTTAAAATGAGATAACGTTTTACAAATTTTTCAACATTTCAGACTGGCTGACGCCCATCAACCTATTATTGTACTCCGCTGTCTCTGTCTTGGTGGCCCTCCTCTGGATATTTAATTGTTTCGTGTCCATGTATCCAATCAGTTATCTGTTCAATTAGTCCTTCCAATCCTATTTCTCGACCAACTAATTCGACTGCTCTTTAAAATTTCATCTATACTGGCTACCATTTATTTATCAAAATATCAGTTTAAATTAGTATCACTGTGCCTTTTTTATTACATTACTTTTTTATACTAAAAATACCCTAAAATATCTTTGAAAAAATATTATCTTCTTTAACTTTTTTGTATAATATGCTGTGTTCTTAAACTCTAATTTGAAAATAAGCGTTGTGATTTTAATATTCTAAGTTTCGTAATTTTTTTTTTTTTTGCTGTCCGTTATAGTTGCACTACAACTAAAATAATATTATGTGGTTTGACGAAATTTTAAGTTTTTGCTATGTGCTTCGTCAACCAAACGTACCTAGTTTTTAATTTTATGGTATAGGAAAAATTAAACCGTTCGAAACCATGTCAAGCGTTTTATCTATCTTCCGTAGTTTGTGAGGTACGGAAAGATTAGTATTTTTTTTTTTTTTAGCTAGTCTTCAAAATCTCATTTGCTCAGTTTTCTATTTGTCGTTAGCAGATCCTGACCCCGCTGATCCTCGCGAACATGGAGTATAATGATAAATGATATTAAGTGTATAACGGACGAGAGAAAAATATATAAAAAAAATAACAACCCTGGGCCAAATCCTTATGGGGTTACGGCACATAACAAAAAAGCCTGTCAACCTTTCCTCTTCCTCTTCCCTCCCCCCGAGTATAAGTTTCGTGGGCGGGAAAAATTACAATCTCTACATTGTCAATGAATTGACGAGTTTTTGCAGATTTTCAGTCTTTAAAAAATAATAATAAATTATATACGGTCAACACGAACTTAATATAATCTAACAAACCTATAACATAATGTCATCGCCCACCTAGTACTTACTGATTACCGACATTCGGATAGTGGATAGATTTTTTTGGATAGGCATTATTATACTGCTAGCAGTAGATATGTCCCAACCTCAACTGATAGTGGTCTAGAAGTTGATATTTCAATTATAAAGTAAACGAAAACAATCCAAAGTTCTGTGAAATCTATAAAAAAAAAGATGGAACAAAAAAATTTGTTCATGAAAAAAAAAAGGTTCTCTAAATTTAAAGTAATCCACGTCTCACCAAAAGTTATTCTATTGATCCATAGTATCTAAAAGATTGTGAAAAACTTGTCACGTTCAATAAATTGAAAACAAAACAAAAAACAGTACCTGCGGGAGAGCTATAGTTATCAGAAAAATGATAAGGGGTCAATCACAACATTTCACTGTTCCCTCACTTTTACTCCTAAAATACCATAATAACATATCAAATTTATTAATGTCGTTTAACAGTTATTGTGTATTATCGTCCTATCACGCGACTTTTATACGTCAAAATAGAACCTACCTGACACGATACGGTAATTTTCATTTTCTCCCCTTCCTTTGTTTCTAAATCTTCCCAACGTAGTTTTTAACGACTAAGAGTTTTAGCTATCCATCTGGGAGATTAATTTCTTAGGGGCAGTAAATACTAATACTTTAATACTACTCTAAATGCGTGGGTATCGCGTCCTCTTAACGGTAATATATTAATGAATCGAGCAAAAATAGTATACATCGCGTCTCTAAATAATAAACCGACTTTAGAGTGTTACAGATTATAATAGTAAGGACCTAGTCTTTTTGAAATGCCACAAATCGCATCATGAACCATATAATATATCGTGTCGTCCGTCATGATTTCTCGCGAAGCGTCGTTATATTATTTGCGAAAACGATAACGTTCCTATAGTGTACGTACGTATATAGTGCATCGCAAACAAATCGTTTTAACACTACACGAATGTCACTCCCGGATTAGATTTATCGAGCTTAGAAACATTTTCGAGTTGACCTAATGAATAATGATCGTATTATTCAGTATAACAGTATATACAGTGTAATGCTTATATTTTATTTCCCACGTCAGTGATGTAATCAGAATTTTTCAACGAGGGTCCTGGACAAGAAAAAAAAAAAAAATCCAAAATCGTATGTTATTTTGTTAACGTTAATTTCCTTAATTACATTTAAACATATACTCGATTCGCATAATCGATGAAATACGAAAATAAACCATAAAATTACACCATAAAATGTAACAAAAATATTAGGATAAAAAAAATGTTGGCTTCAATATCCTCATCGCTAAGTCACTGTTTTTCGCCATTTCTCTTAACAAAAAAACAGTCAAAAGTCACTTGCTACTGCAGTATTCGATTATTTAATAGGATAGTAAAATATAAAATAAAAAACGAAATTTAAAAACAGAGGAAACCCCGCGTTCATCCGATGTTTGCTGTTTTTATTATACTGTTATCAGTAAAAAAAAAAAAAAAAAACCGACATAACTAGGATTCCTGCACATCGGGTGGGCGGTCAAAAATCGCATTATGTTGTAGGAAAAATTCATTTTTCAACGGGTTTAAATGTGCAGTTATTTTCACTCTGCGGGCGTTCCCCGAATCGACAGTACACCTGCACCGGAAAATCGGACGGCAGTAAATAGCAGAGATTTGAAGACGAAGGACAACAGATATAATACCTATTATAAAGGTCCATTTCAATGGCCCAATTTCAAAATTTGAACTTTTAACAATGCCAACCGTTTGAACATCGTGCAAAATGTACACCAAGTACCATCGTTTATGCACGAAGACCTACAAAGTTTTCCCAGAAAAACCCCACTTTCGAAATTGATGTATATTCCTGTGTCTACGGTACACAAACGATTGAAAATGTCTAAAGTTCGTTATCAATTGCAATATCTAAACGCAAGCGGCAACAACAACGATTTTATCCATATTAGGCACGTCGAAAATTCGTTTCTTTTAGAAATTAAATGCCGACGATTGACGACGGGATAAGTCTTAACCTGACCAATAACTAAAATGGATTACATTTGATTCCGTTACGTGGCTAATTTGAAACGTTTAAACTAACGAATGTTCATTATATAATAGGTATATTTAGTAAATATTTATAATGCGATATATGTATAAAAAAAGACCGCGCGAATTTATTACGACTAATAATGCGCGTGACGTTAGAGATAAAGGGTCGTTAGGGGTCTGGAAATAACGCTTAGGAATAAAATATTTATAGTAAAAACGTCCGAGCTTAATTTATAGCTGTTAATACTATGCGCGCCGAAAAACACCGCAATAATAATACTCGAAAACGTTTAAATTTGAACGGCAATGTATTCCTGACCGGTGGTTACCTTAATACGTTCTGTAACACGACGGGCGGGTTTTGAATTTTTCATCGTTCCTTCGTATACTGCCGCCGCTGAATTTTAAAATATTATGTACCGCGTTTTTTTTCTCCCGGTTCTGTTTGTCGTCCAATACTTATAATATTCTATTATATCCATCCACAGTCGATTGTGGCACTAAAATCTACGCGCGCTCGATAAAACGTGACGGACATTTCACAATTACGTACTAATCTACATTTCGACTTATTTTAATTGAAATTTTGAGACTACCAGTGATCGTATTGTTAGACTACGCCGTAATATTTTCATTTTACACTATTCTTTGTATATTTTGAGCAAAACGAGGAATGTGTTTTATGCGCTGTAATTTTAAGAATATTTAATTCATTTAAATATTTTCAATTAATATAATTCAATTTTTTTTTCCATTATGGGTGAAAAAGTAATTATTTATTAAAACAAACGATAATTTCATACAATACTTGAGGTGAGATAACCTTAAATACTAACCTGACTTGTTCGCCCTGCGCAAAGAAGTACTTACGATCACACAAAATCTTGTGTTCAGTATTTTCCAAATGAAGAAGATCCTTAGTATAAATATACTAAATCGATACTAAATCCATTTGATGAAAAAATTAAAAATAATTGAAATACGAACGAAAAAGTTATTATTCGACTTTACTCTCAGAGCAAAATTCCAGTTATTCTTTTCTTGATCTAATTTTTGGTTATGTTTTAAAAGTGACTACCGATTTTTAAGTAAAAACGCAACGGAAATTCGATTTAAATTTTCAACGTGTTTATAGGAAAAAAGATGAAAATCTGACACAGTTATTAAAACTCAATACCGGTCTCGGCTTAAAATAAGGTCTTTGAGTAGTGCTTGCAGTTATTTCATAAAATTATTTAAAAAGCAGACACAAATGTCACAGTAATACTAAAAATGTTTAATATTTAACTTGAATTTGTTTGTACTAATTTAACAAACTTGAGTGATTTTGTTATAAATAAAAAAAATCTTTATTTAATAAGTTATTATTAAGTATTTAATTGGCATATGCAATTTGATTATGCTTAAGAAGTTATGATTTAAATTATGTGTGTTGAATATTAATAAAATGCATTATAATTATATAATTATCTTTTTTTTTTTAATTGCTCATAAAACTTATCAGGGGCGTATTTATGGACGGCCCGAGGGACTTGTGGCTCTTATTCCCCTTCTTCTCAAAAAAAAATAAAAAAATAAAAATCTCCGGATACTAACACCTGATACCGTAGACCGTAAAGCATAAGTGGTTCGTAGAATTTAATCACGAATTTAGTGGTCTGGGAGGTCGAAAAGTTTGTGGACCGTTGTCGATCAGTTAGACCGCGAGTGCACGTCGCGGAGATATATTAGGCTGCACGGTCGGTCGTGAAAAATAAAAGTGTACATTTTACACGGGCACAGTACAATTACGAGAGTTTCGCCGTAATTTCGCCGTTGGATTTGAAAACGTACGGACCCGTAATATTCTACCGTTTCGGTGTTCGTAATAATTGTAATAAACACGCGCCTCTAAAAATCGATGCCGTGCACGATTAATAAACGCTTAATAAACAGGATGAAAGTTATAATATAGTTCTGCGCGATGAACGTCGGCTCAGGATTATTGCATAACGAGCTGTTCCGGCGGAGAAACGAAGTTACAGCGAATTTATCATTGTCAAATTATTATTATGCTGCAAATACGTTAAGTTTCTATACGCCGTCGTATTCGTGTAACGTAATATGATTAATAGAAAATAACATCAGCAAAACAACAATGTACGATCGAGACCAAATCGACGTATTATGTGTATTATAGGTACGTAAACCGCATAATATGTTTTCGTCCATAAGAGGATTCGAGGGGTCGTGCCTATTGCGACGAAACGTTTGAAGGAAAAATTAAATTCATCGACTCGAAAACAATTCGAATTCGCTTTCGCGTACATAATTTTTACTGTCCCCGGATTTTCGCCAGTTGTTTGAAAACGTTCGAATATCTTCGACGCCAGCTAATAAACACCGTTCTTACGGTCGCGCTACAAAATACGTGTAGTTATTTTTTCCGTAAGCGCTTAAAACCTGACCGTTTTAAATTCGAGTTGTGATGAAAATGGTACAAATAATTTACAAGTAGTTCGATTTAAGCGGACAAATCGTTTTTTGGTTCTGTAAAAAAAAAAAAAAAAAAACACGGACAATCGTAATTTGTTTTCTATAGTCGCCAGTTAATTGCAGTTTACGTTCAATATTTATGCCAAAACGTACAAAACAACACGTTCAATGTTATATCGCTGTTCAGAATCGTTTTCCGTTAGCAGTGGTTTATTGTTGCGATCAAAATCGAATTACCTTAAACATTCCCGAATAGCTGACTCGACACCCACAACGACGGACAGCGGCACATCCGTTCCGCGAAGTATAGCCGTCTTTTTTTTAACCCGTAACAATAAATTAATAAAATATGTATACACAATTCTCGTGCCGAAACATACATTGCATACCTGATGTTTGTAATAATATATTATATTTTTATCGTATACCTACGATTTAATAAATCGATTCGGTTGTTTTAATATTTCATAAAAAAAAAAAAAATCAGTCGTTTCATGCAGCGGCTATATTTTGATTTGTCAGTCGACTTGAATAATTGCATTTCTATTTATTTATACAACGGATACAATAGAAATGCATTATTACACAATTTACCCCATTGTACATACATACAGTATAATAATGTATTGAACTTCTTTCATACGTCTAAAAAATATTTATATATATATATTATTCATACGTTAATTTATTGTAAAATACATTATTGCGTACAATTTATTTTCATTTTTTTATTGTGCGTAAAGTACGTATATCATTAATATTATGAATAAAATATTTCAAACAATCGTTTTCGTTAAATTCAAAAACGTTACATGATTTATACCCGCATACGTAATGTAGAGCCCTGCATGGACCGGGCCGGTCCGACCCGACCAAAATTTCGACACGATCCATAGTCGGATTGAAATGGTTCGGCCCGGAAAATAATTCATAATTCGGGTCGGACCAAATTAGGACCGGATCAGTACGGGCTCGTAAAATAACGCGGATCGGATTTAACCCCTAGAACTCTGCATGGACCCGGCCTATCCGACCCGAGTTTGAGCCCTACTCTTGCGCGACCGTTCCGTCCGGAAAATAATTCTAAATTATGAGATTTTTGGCCGGAATAGGATCGGATTTTTAGATTTTTCCGTTAGAACCAAATTCGAATTTCTGTCGGATCGGATCGGATTCACATTTGACGACCCTTGTGGGACACTAACACATTTGCATCACGTACAATATTATCGTGTTAACGGAATAACGGCGAAACAAATCTACTCCGAAATAATCTGTTCGTGAATAATAAATAACCGTTGGGGAAAAAAATGTACTCGACTCAACAAGGTGTATACGTTCGTGAAATATAATATTATTGCGTACTAGATAAGGCGAAAAACCGAAATTTTTGGTGGGGTAATTTTACGTGCACTTTGTTTCCCGGATACTGAAAATGGACTAAAGCGCTTTTAAATTTATTTGCGACTCGCAATATCTTGTAGACGGAATTTGGTTTACCGCTTTGATATTTTTCGAGGTTTTTTTTTTGTTTTTTTTTTTTTTTTTACGGAACACACAAACACATTAAACAGACTCAATCGCAAGTACCGGAACAAATCATCGCCAACGTCTGTGATATAACAGGTTTACGTTTTATACAATAAAACATAAAATTTAATGACAATAAAATAAAATTAGGTGAAACGCTAAATAACAACAGAATATTACCCTATCCTTATTTCGTAGGTATTGTAACGAGATCGGAAGACTTGGCAGGTGGCGTCTGACCTTTTTCGTCGTTTATATTATTTTTATGAACTCTCGCTCCGGGCCGAAACACAATAATTATTCTTTATAATGTCTATAAAAAAACGAAATAATATTTCAACATGACTATACAATAACAAAATAATTCGTCTTCTTCAAAAACGTCGGTGAAATTGCCTATAAGCAACCCCTTAAATACCGATAGTAAACTCTTCATATTTTATAAAATGAACGTCGGTTTATATCCGTGTAATTATTATATTTTTAATATAAAATGGATTTAACAACAATAATGAAACTTTTTGGGTTTTAGACGCGAAAAATATTCTACAGTTTTACTGGTCAGAAAAAAAAAACATTAATGTTTAAATCCTTCCTTCGAATAGCGAAGTCGAAGTTGCTCATATTATAGTTTATGATTTTCTCACACATAACAATAGTCGCTTGTGTTATTTTATTAAATTACCGCAAAAATAAGTGTATACATATAAAGGAAGTACGCGTACACAGGGTGACCCATGGAGATCTGACAAATGATACGACTTTCGTTCTGTTCAAAATTTTTAAGTTTTTTTTTTTTTTTTGAGGTAATCACAAGAACAATGCGTGATAATTGGTATATTTTTTAAAACAAATAAAAATAAATTACATCTTTTAACGATACCCAAGATATTATGATTTTATAAATTGATTTTTAAACAAAGTTTTGATTTACAAATGTCCATTAACGTGGGCCGTTAGTTTTCAAAAATTTTATGGAGTTAAAAAAATTTAAATTTGTTCACTTAATGACAGTGAAACAATAATGTCAATTGATTCACCAATATTATTCTATTTTTTTATAATTTTTTTTAACTTCAAGATATTTTACAAAATCAAAGACTATCGTCATTAAACAACATTATTAATAGTAAAATTTTATTCATTATCCATTTATTAAACAGCAACCGTGGATTCATAAAAAAAAACAAAATATATTTATACAAATTTTAATTTTTTTTTTAAAAAAACTTTTTGGAAATAAAAAACTATAGCGCAAGGATCAAGTTATTATATTTAAATAAAAAACTTAAAAATATCAAGAAAACAATACAATTATTACATTTGCATTGCATGAGACATTATAGCATAAAATTATGTTGACAGCGAACCGAAACATTTTATCTAGATCATAAATGCAAGTGAACTTACCTAATAGTTGTTAAAAATTAAAACTAGATTCTTTTAGTTACGTCGAGCTAGAGTGAATATTTTTATTTTTAATTTGTTTATAACAATATTTTTAATACCATTTTTTTTTACTTCCACCCGCCTTTACGCATTTACATTTAGTCATTTCCGTATTAATTATACATATATTATAAATAAAAGTAATTTCACAGAAAAACAAAAAAAAAAAATCACGTATAATGTGAAAGGGTAAAACGCATTTTTAAGGGTGACCTGACGTCCTGACAGGATTATGCTCATTAAAAACAAAAACAAAAAAAAAAAAACCGTTCAAATGTGTCGACGATTTCATTCAATCAACCCGCATAAAATCTGATCAAAATTATTTACGTACGTTTAATATCGAATAAATCAAATTAAATAATAACACAAAATCAGTCGAATACATTGAAATTATTTTCTAAAATATGAACAAGCGTTATTTGATTTAAATTTAAAAAAAAAAGACTGACATTATACATCGCACACGGGTTCAGCAACTGTTATAGGTGGGAAATTGTAAAGGTAGGATACAAAAGAGAATTCAATATATATCTGTAAGCAATAATAAACAATTGCTAACGAAAAAACGATTCTGAGCTGAGTTCAGTTGATTGTGACGCTTTGTCAATAATACATATACAAGTACATGCTATATTATGGTAAAATAATGAAATAGGCATTATATAATTTCTTTAATAATATTTGTTTAATATTGTACTGATTTTCTCGTTTTTCCCTGCTTTTTGAATTTACTTGGGAAACTCTTGGGAAAATCGAAAAATAACCGACTTAATGTACCTTCCCAGACAGATTTCCTTTCAGAAAAAGGGCTATAATTTTTAATCGTAGCAAAATTGCTGGTAGAAAAGTTCTCCAATGAAAATAAAGTTATAATAATATGTTTCCACTAATACTTACATATTTAAAATTTTCCGTTTTTCCGACATTTTATCCCGGTTTTTCGCAGAAAATATGAAAACCGCATGAAAAATCGAAAAATTTCCTCCTTAAGGCACCATACATATAAAATTGTCTTCACTTGATACATTGAAGCAAAATTTCTGGTAGAAAATTTTGCACAACAAATAGAGGGGTATTTTGCGATGAAAATAGTCTGAGCGAGCGATGGCTTGTGACTCTTGGTACACCCAAAATGCATTTGTGTTTTACTTGTTTATGTGAAAACAGGAAAAAATGGAAAAGATTTGTTTCGAAACTCGGGTGTGAACTTGCGATCCCTCTGATGTCAATAGGAATGTATTCCCATTAGACTATGACATACTTGTTTGTGTTTGACAATATATAGTTATTTAACATAACATATAATATCCACATTATATCAGAACTTCAAAAAGCTTTATTTTCGAAACTAGATCAGTCAGCTCAAATCATACTTCACCATCGTTCTTAAATCAGAAATATACATATGTTCAAAACAAAAAATTGATTTCCGTTAAAAATTGATATTAAAATTCCTTTAAAAAAAAAATACTATATTAAACACAATTTCCCCCTCCCAAAAAAGTGATATTTTTAATGAACCTCCTGTTAAATTTTCACACATTTTTGTTTAGTGTAATGATTTTAGTGCAGAGTACCTATCGAATAAAAATTACATATAAAACTCGCAAAATTAAAATCTCTATAAATAGCTCAAAAAAAACTTTGACTGTGTCTAGAAAAATCAAATATAAGTTTTCTATCCAAGTTTCAAATCTTTACGAATATTTTTAACAGAGTTACAACAAATAACCAAACTGAAAAATAATAAAAGTATTATTTTCGTAAATTTCCCGTTTTCTTACGTTTTATACTGGTTCTTCCCAGATATTATTAAAATCGCTTAAAAAATTAAAAAATGACTTTCTAAAAGTACCATCTGGACAATATTTCCTTTCGGAAATGGTGCCACGCGTACATATCGGAACAAGATTTCTAATATAATTTTTGTACACTGTATAAAAAAAATAAAATTAACATCTTAATAAAACCAATAAATTCTTCGCTACACTCAGAATCTAAGAAAACTATAGTTAATAAACTTCCATCACCAGAACCACAACACCTGTAGGTAAAATATTTAATTTTTTTTTTTTACAGGCAAATTGGTCTGTATGGGCGTTTAAAACCCGGTATTTTCTGTGTAAACTAAACATAAAATTGATTGGGAAAGGCGTTGGAGAGTCGAAACCATTAAAAACCACCTTCTTGATACTTACGCCTTGCACACATAAAACGTGTAAATATTATATGCTTATATAGGTAATAACAGAAACCATAAAATCGCTTCCCCCTCCTTACCCTACGATTGAAGAGCTGAAGACACTTCTGGTGGTTGGTGGATAGTAGGAAAGATCAATGACAAATCATCGCAGTTAAAAAACGATTCTCAATGTTATTATTCGTGTTTTTCTATTGTAGTCACGGTAACCCGAAATCGATAAAAACAAACCTATATGAGTACGTCGTCATTATTGTTGTCAGTTTTTTTAATATATTAGAATGAATTTAGCGCACCTGAAAAATGTTTCAAATGAAGTACCGCTAATCGAAAAATCCTTATTTCTAAGGAACGAAGAACTTGGAGCATTTTTATTTTTTACTAAAAAATAAACTCCAGAAAAATCCCTTCAGAAATGAGATCTAAGGTATAAACCATTGAGAATTTAAAAAAATATACAATTAATGTACCACCGATCGGAAATTTCGTACCTCAAAATGTATAATATTTGGACAAAACGCTCGTAAAAAAAAAGTATTTTCCGAGTTAAAAAACATTATTTTTGTAAAACTTTTAGCTTCTTTACTAAACTCAAAATCTAAAATTTGGTACCCAGGGAAATATAAAAATACAACTTGGTTGAATCAAACAAAAAATATTTTTTTTCTTTTCGTGGATATTTTATTCGTACAGGTGTAACAATACCATAGAATCTTATTTCAATAAAAAAATAATAATAATAAAAATCCCATTCGCGAGCAGCGGTTTTAAGTGAATAACGCAATTTGTATGGGTTTTTTTTTTTTTTTATATGGTTTACATATCGCTGAAAAAAAAAATTACACGACGATAAATTATCCGAATAAAATAAGGAACAAATAAAATTCCATAGAAGAAAATCAATAAATTTACGTAATAATTTTTCATAATTTTCATAAATGATCACCTAGAACTACCCTTGAAAATACTTTTTATTGGCGGATAAAAATCGCAACATCGTTTTACATACATTTTCCCACGAAAATCTCAAATGTGAAAAAACGTTAAGAATAGACGAGATATTTAATGAAAAAACATATACACCCACATAGAATTGTACTTTATTTGTATAATACATATAGCCAGTGCTCAATAGTCGTCCGAATGCGACGTGGTTATACAGATAATACGATTTACGATTGTACTATTCATTGTCATAATAATTTTCACGTTCGCTATGGTTTTCTCATAAATTACAATCGATTAGGTTTATCTTTCACCTACGGGTTTAGGTTTACTATCCTAAACTTTTATTCAATATTTAGTTTCGTCGAATATTTCAGTTTGTATAGGTCACATTTCAATCGACTTCACTACAAGTGATCGCATGTGCCCCACATTATGTTTCGAATTACACCTTGCATTCAGACTGAAAAATGCATACAGTTCAAGAAGCACCAAAATTCGTTCGTATGTGCGAACGACATCAGTCTTATTTTACCACTTGTACAAATACAAAATTAATTTTTTTTTAATGTTAATTTTTGATAACAATAATAAAAATAGTAAAATAGCGAAAAAAAGTTTGTTTGATAAAAAGGGTCGAAAGACTATTTATTTTTTTCTTGAAAATCATCTATTTAACCATATTTTAAAAAAAAAAAAAAACAATTCAAAAATGGACTTTTACAACGCAAAAAATATTTAGGTCAACCTTACAATAATATATAATGTCATTTATGCTTGCAAAATTAATGGAAAAAATAAAACGACTTATCAAAGAATACAAATAAACCCATTAAAAACAATTAAATTACATTTCAAAAATAAATAAAAAAAAAAAAAACAATTTTACGAATAATAGTAATATTTTTATTTATTTATTTATTTTTTTTTTTTTTAGTCTATAGAATAATTCTTTTTTTGTTGGAATATTTGAATCATAAATATAAAGCACACAACTTTGTATTTGCAACATTATATATAATACTTATATACCTATAGGTATATATTATTATTATTTAAATGATTATTTTTGTTCAACCGAAGTTGGACAGGTTTTTTATGATAATGTTTACGGTACATTTTTCGTTTTTAAAAACATAAAATATATTAGCGGTCGTAATCGTTAGAAACGGAAAGTACATCACATTTACACTGCAGTTTACTACTCGATTTTGTGAAATCGTTTTTCTCGTATATTTTTTTACTACGATAATTTATATAGTCAATAAAGTCGATTATCACCAACGTGTGTCTGTATAATATAATGTACACTGGTATTACAAATAAATAAAAATATTATACAACGTGCGATTACTTTGGCAGGCAGTGGTAAATATGTCGGCCCGGTAAACTTGGTTTTAAATTTGGAAGTTAGAGCAGAGGATACTGAAATACGGATTTCAGAAAAATTTTTAACTTTTAAACCAAAACTTCCCGAAGGTATTTATAAAGACCGGGTATTAATACAAAACATACGTTTTTTTTAAAGAAAATTTAAGTTTTAGTGTGCGCAATCTTGCCAAAAAGAAATTAAAAATTGTAAATTTATCTTTATAGGAGCATTTCAGTACTGTATCACCTACTGATAACTGAGTTTAAATACAAAACCGCCCGACCAAAGTATTTTAACCTATACAAATTACAATTGTTTCGGAACTTTCTCAGACGCCTTTCAGATATTTTGCACATTATTTTTGTTATTTCATCAAAGCATGACTAAAATATATTTAAAACTACGAGACGAATAAAAAAAAAATATGCCTCCTCTTTATGTTCTTGAACATTCACCAAAATCACTTTTTTTTTTTTTTTTAATCAGTATGCCTATTCCATCCGAATATATTTACAATGCAAATTAATTTTTAATCGACATGTTTTGAAAAATCTTTACGGAAAAACTTCGTATATTTTAAGTATTTTCTAAACTGCATTTTAATATTTATCAAAGACATATTATATTGTAGTCGAGAGTTTAGCAGAATTCAATATAGAATTACTGGAGAGCATTTTAGGACATCATACAATATAAACTTGTAGAAAAGTTCTGGAACACTCCCCGCGTGTTTATTCAGAAACTTTTGACCTCGTAAATATGGAAATGGTAACTTCATAGTTATAGGCACGTATTTCGATTGACAAACCGAATGATATTTAATTTAAACATTGTGCAATGTTCAACAAATATTCAAATATTCATCAAAGAAGTACATACCTAATTGCGTAAATCGCAAATAATAATTTGTTCTTGTTTAATTATGTATTATAATAATTATTACACTATTTCGGAGTTTAAATAACGATTTTTAAATTCTTGGTTTTACAATGATGTGTGATTTATTTATTTATACACCAGATTTCATTATTTTAAAAAAAACTAAATTTTTCGACCAGAAATATTACTTTAATCAAAAAATGTCAAACGAATTTTTTCGTCACTTTTGGATCTAATTTGTGTGTACAATAAAAACAACTTTATTAAGCGACATTAATGGTTTCGTTATTTTCGGTTTTATTATAAATGTGTTCAAAATTATTATAGAGATCTTAGAGTTTCGCAAAATGCTTGGATTAGCTTTTTATAGAAGTGATAAAATTGTCACGATTGTATTTTGGTGATTTTTAAGCTATTATAGGAATTTTTTTTAGTTTTTATGTGGAAATATGTAGATGAAATTTATTGAACAAATATCCATGATTGAATACTTAACACGAGATTTATTATAAGTTGTTCGTAGTGGTGAAAATAAAATGTTTTAATATCAAATTTTGACAAAATCGTAAATATTACGGTTTTCAAAAAACATGTACAACCGAACTTCGCACGTAACTTTATTATTCACACGTAGCACACATAAGTATTTTGTGAACTTGTCAGGTCTCTAGAATTATTTTTAACTATACTTCAAAAATTAAAATGCCGAAAGTAATAAAACTGTTGTCTATAAACATTTACGTTTTAGCTAAAAAAAAATTCGAATACCGGACATATATTAAATTACATAGTAATATATAATATAATACAATGTGTCGCGATACGTACGATACAATATTGCATAGCAATTAAAACGGGGGGGAGGGAATACCTCCAGGAAAGGGGACGACGAAATTTGAAGGGATGAAATATGATATGATTATGACGCAGGGCGGTGAATACAAAGACTAAAATCGATTGTTGATCGTATGATAATAATAACAATAATGTATACACGATTATAATTCGTGAATTATGAATATACTGGTATACTTAATGGTAAAATATACAATTCGAATCATTGTAACAAAAAACGATTCTGAACTGAGCACGTCTAACTATACGGAATGCGCATTTAACCGACTTAAATCGATTCAAATAATATTTTTCTCGTATAATACGTAGAAATTGAAAATTTAAAAATTTGAGATATTTTAGGACTCTGGTCGCACGATTAAATTTATTTCGGGCTATCAAATTTAGTATCTATTTATAATATATATATACAATTTTTAACAAAGAATATCGAAAAATCGTCGCTAGAATACATATGGTTTGACCGATAATATCATCGAAAACTCCTCTAGTAGTTTTTTCTATTCAAACCGGTATTAGTTGTTAACAGACAGTCTGAAGAAAAAAAAAAATCGAAAATTCATTTCGTCCGAATTTCGTTTTTCGTGGCTTATCACACTCGTGTTTTATACGTGAACCAGCAATTTTGCAGTTTCTGTATTATGACAGGTTAGTTAAGTGTTATCAATTTATTTATCATATAAAAGTATGATTTCTAACTCAAGTAGTTCAATTTAGACAATGGATGGAACCGGGATAGATAGGGATCCGGGGAAAGAATTTTTTGAGAACAAGAATTCCAAAAAGCTGGTCGGAAATTTACATGAATTGAATACTAATTATTTTTTATTTATAATTTTTTGAAATACAAACTGGTTGGGACCGGGGTAACGTACGTCTCCCGCGGTTCGTACATTTTTTACTGTTACGAGTGGTAACAGTCATGACTTATTATGACTCAGAAACGATAAATCCGACATTATGAATATCAAAAGGTTTTGAAAATCATTCTCGATTTGAATCGGGGTATAATAAAAGGGAGGCGGCGTTGCTGTTGTAAAAACGTAAGTAACGGGCGATGATTGCAAACAGTGTTAAAATGAAGCCTAAACGATTCCACAACGGTCGAAAAGGAAAAACGGAAATCAATTATTTACCTAAAATCGTCCGAGAATACCGTCGGTTCATTATTAATGGATCACCCGGTATTTTATGTAATTTATATATGTATACATGAACTATCCAAACAGACGGTTTGCGATACGTAAATAACAGAACGCGTAATAGTTGTTATTAATAACGACGATATTATTAAGGTGTGTCTTTCGTCGGTTTGTTTTAACCGATATATACGGCCGGTCCCGAGGGGAAATCGTTTACCACGGCGTTTGTCACCGACAAATATTGAACGTAATATTTCTATAGAATTTATATAGACACGCGGGTTTGCGAAAAGTGTTTCTGAAAAAAAAAAAAGTATAGATATACACGGTCGAGAGGACTAATTCCTGGGGAGGACGAGTGTTACCTGGCGAATTTGAGGCGTTGCTCGTAGGTAATTTCATCGACACATTTCAAAATGTGAAATTCGATCCACTCGAATACATTCAAATTCAATTCCACGGCGAAAAAAGTATTATATAATTGTTATCTGTTTTTTCTACCAAAAATCTTGCTTCAATCAATAACTTTATAGGGCACTCTTTTGTAGCATTTTTTTTTTTTTTTATTTATTTTGTAAGTCCATTGAGGAGGTAATTTTTGTATTTCCCTTGTAGTTTTCTTTATAAATGGAAAAAAAAAAAAGTGGAAACTGTTTAAAATAAATTATTTTTGTTGATTTCTCGGTTACTTTGACAACATGAGAATTAATACGAGTAATAAAATCCTGCTAAGAGTGATTTTACATTACTCACAGGGATAAGGACAAATGAGTATTAATATTCGAATTAATTTTTATGTTTTGGTAAACAAATTTAAAAAATAACTTTATTTTTGGAAAAATTTTAAGATAGCCGTTTTGTTCTTCTGAAGATTTCGACATTTCAAATTTATATGTCTATTAAATTCGTGTATTTTTTTTTTTAAATTTCAGAGAAAAAAAAGTGCACATTCAACATAATTAATAATAATATTTATTTTATAATAATTTGTACATCGCTCATCAGTAATTATACAACTGACTTGTAGATTTGCTAATATTGATTGTACACTTTTTTTTTGAACATTAAAAAATTGTAAAAAGTACGCAAATTTAATAAAAATAAAAAAATTGAAACGTCAGCATTTTCCAAAGAATAAACTTTATAAAATAATTATTTCAAATTAATAAAAAAAATTAAGTTATTCTTTAAATTTATTTACCAAAACCTACAAATATAATTTAAATTTGTATAGTCCTTATCCCTGTAAGTAATATAAAATTTTATTATTTGTATTACCATAGGAAATACCTTCATGGGACACCCTGTCCCCTTCCAATATTCTTTTTTAAACGGTTGCACAAACATTTATATTGGATTTTTTTTTTTTTTGTATTTGTAATATCAAAAAATATAAACCGACGTTGACTCGACAACTTGCACTGTATTCGATTTTTCTTTGGCAAAAATTAAATTTCTTAATAATTAAACATATTGCCCAAATAGTTTTTCCTTTGGAAAACAGTTTTTACAGTAAATTTTCGGAGGAGGGGTAGCAACGGTAGCATAACATCTTAAAAACCCTTGATCAAAGCGATCGCAACAGTTGATTATTCATATTACCAACAGTTATGTGCCATACAATATACGTGCAAGGTATTGTATGTGCGACGACAATATTTCTCTCGCGATAACAAGCAAGCATCTTATTTATTGATTTATTTAGAAGTCGGTCAATGATGAAAAGAGGAAGAGAAAAATTACATAATTCGTCCGGTTCATTTGATCCGAATATTTCACGGAGGACCAAATCGTAAGGAATCACAGGCTAGGTACTTCTTTTTTAACGAAATGTACTACAATGTATATAAATTTCGAACGCTACGAGTGATGCGGTTCCGTGTTAAATTAAAATTGAGAACGCGCAGTATTAGTTAAAACAAACGATGTGTATAAATGCAGCGGTGAACCGAATAAAAACGTTAGTGTCTTTCGCCGCCACCGCCGTTCACGTTCTGAGTAACAAAGATCGCAGATCCGTGTGACCATACCTCTTTTTCCAACCCGTATGTCCAAAATGCATCATGATAAAAATTAAAATAATATTACTCTCGAGTTTCCGTAGTATCTAATTGTTCAAGATTCGCGACGGACAATTTTAAAGTAGCTAATGGAGTATATGAATTTGAAACTATTGCGCGAGCACAACGCATACACAATGATACTGTTATAGTCTATAATAGTATACGTTGCTTAATGAAACAGAAATGCAATTTTCGCAATATTATAAAGCCAACAAAAACAAACTGTGTGCGCATAAAAATACAGCACAAATATCAGAGTAAGATACATTAATTACAATATTTTTTACACTAATATATGCATTATTAGCTGACCCGGCAATGCATCGCCATTGCTAGATGAATACAAATAACGGACGATTTGCTTGTGCGCGACACCCAAACTGTCGATCCGTGTCATCGTGGTAACCCACGAATAGGTAGAACAGAAGCATAAATAGACAAATAAACGATTAGATGTCCATACCAAAAATACCCGAAAACCCCTATTTTGCCCACCTTGGGGTTGAATTTTTCAAGAATACCCTCTTGTCAGATGCCCGCGTCATAACAGCCACGGTGTGTGTATGATATCGTTTTTTAAAATTAGTAAAACGATCGTAATGACCAATAGTACACAATAATTTATCATGCGCGCTGTAAGACCGCTAACAAAATGCATATCAACCGGCCCCGTCGTCCGCCCATTCTTCGAAATGCCGACCCACCCGCGTTAAAACCGAACCCCATGGCCCGTCACAATGTGCATGGTACACGGTGATATTGTAACACTGTAGTGCGGACCGAGCGAATTCGGTTCAAAAATAAAAACATTAGCGAAACGAAAATCCGGAAATAAATAGACCCGGTGACGTAGACGCATAGTAAAAAATAATAAAAAAATAATGTTTATAAAAAGCTCGGCATAATATCAAATATGAGTGTACGCTCGTATGAATAAAACGTATTGGAGCGTTGTGTAATGTGTACGGTTTAATACGATTTTATTTAGTACGCAGCAATAACTTGCTAGAAACGATAGAGCGGTAGAAATTTTAAAAAAAAAAATAGAAAAAAAACCGTTCGGTTTTTTTTTTTTTTATATCTACTTACTGATAATGTTATATGTGTTCGACAATACACTGTAGCCATAAAACTACATATTTTATAAAACAAAAAAACTATACCCTACGGTCATTAGAACAATATGGAAAATCAATACCGAGTTATTACTTACCATTTGTATTGTATTGCGTTTTTATTTATTTCCCCCCCCCCGCAATCCGGATCATATTGCCCGGCACCACAACGGTCACTTAACCCAACTTCTCTCGCTAACAAAAGCCCCGTGTACGCCGGATTCCAGTGTTTCTAAATGTCCGCAACGGCTTGTTCGGGCACCGGTTATACACTCGTATGCGCGTCATACTTTATAAAAGGACATCGAACGGGAGTTACACATTTCCGCCGAAAATTTCCCTTTTCCCTTTTCGACAACCGGATCACGTTTCCGCCAAATCGTACGATTGATCGATTTCACAATCAAAATATTCGAATATCAGACAAATTTTTTTCATTCGGCGGAAAAAGAGAAAGGTACATTTTTGGCGGAAACCGGCCATGCCCGATTGAATTTAATTCTTTTTTTTAAAATGCGGTAGAATTTTAAAAAAAATATAACGAAATACGCAATTTTATTTTATTTTTTTTTTTTTGTTTTATGGTTTATAGAAACAATACGCCTATGTGGGTATACTATTTTTATTTACAATATTTGTAAACGCATCCTAAACAAATTGACGAACGCGAATGTAAAATGGATTGTTTATGGAAATAAGAGATAACGAATGAGACAAAAATAATTTTTTCAGACTATGAATGGGAATGCGTTGCTTTTTGGAATCTCTCTCTCTCTCTCTCTCACTCTCTCTCTCTCTCTCTCTCTACTATGATACACGTGATATTGTTGCCGTTGTTTCCGTCCAAACTACGGACCGGATTTAGCTGTACCGTTGCACAGACGTAACTCTGGACCGTGGCGCGCGACAGACGGCAGTGTGACCCACCGAAACTGGTCTGCTGATTCGTATTGTTCGATTGTTCGTAATTAAATTGAAATTATTTCCGTTTAGAGACGACGGAACGGGGAAACGCGTATTCGTTGTTGTTTGCATTTCACGCGTTCGTTCGTTGAACGGCGACGCGCCGGTCACGGTTGGCGTTTCTACAATCGGTTTAAAACGGTACGCTTTTACAGGGGCTAACCGCGCGTACCCGGGGGATTTCAATACCGCGACGTCGGTTACTGTTTGTCGGAAAAATTTAAAAAAAAAAAACCAAAAACCAAAGGGCTTTTTGTCGTCGGCGATCTGTCCTCATTACGTTCCCCCTCTCGTAAGTGTGCCAACGATACCGCGAAACGTATAATAATATCGTTACGCCACGCGATTAATCTGACGGATGCGGGGAAAAAAAAATAAAATAATAATGTTGTTATTTTACACGGTCCGCGGTGGCGACGGCGGCGGCGGTCCGGTCACCGCTCGTGACAGCCGGCAGTCATACGTTGTAAATGACCGTTGTTTCTGTTACGGACGCGGGGCAGAAAACACGATATTAATGCGTCCGGGCGAAACGTTCCCGGGGCGCGCGCGAGTGGGGGGGGGGTAGAAAGAGCGAGAGAGAGAGATAGAGAGAGAGAGAGAGAGAGAGTGAGAGAGAGCGAGTGGCGGGAGGGGGGTGATGGTGGTGGCGTAGGGGCGGGCCAGCGCGCGGTCAATAAATCTCGGACCGTAATAGTCCGGTCGTCGCGGTATTAGCGATTTCTTCCGCGGAACCGTAACCGCGCGGCGCCGTCGACCCGACGGCCGGCCGGCCGATTTCTCGCCGACCGGCACGAGAACCCGCTCAGGAGACGGTCGGGAATGGCGGGGCGGGTTGGCGGGTGGGGGCGAGGAGAGGACAGGGCGGCCGCCCGCGCCCGAAAAGCGACGCCGCAACTCGCCGGACGCGAGCGGATCGGGTGACGAGACGACCGCGGTGTTTTTATCGCGAACGAATTAGACCTTCGTCTCTGTACGCGTCGTGTTGCGCTATTAACGCAGGTGTGTACGACGACGCCCGCAATCGATGTAATAAAAACGCGAGTCGGACGTTTACCGGAACGCGGTCCGAAGCCGTACCGCGACTTTTTTTAAAAAAATAAAAATCGCCGTGCGAAAAAAACCGCGGCCGACGTTTGTTTTTTAACAGTCGGTACTCCGTCGAGTGTCGTCATTTATATTATTGTTTCGCGATGACAAAACCAAACGTCTGTTGTCATTAGACAGGTCGAAATAGATGTTAACAAATTAGAATCTAACTAAAATATTTAAATCCAAACAATTGTTATTGCAGCGAAATGAATAAACTATCGTCGATAACTGTTGAGTAATTTTTGTTTTATTTTTAATTTTTTGGACCGTCCGCCCCACCGCATTTTCCCCCTCCCCCGTTTTAAAATTCACGCTACGCCACTGGCGTCTACGTTTTAGTGCGTCCGGTTTCCCGCACTTGAAATAAACACCGTCAACGGTGTCGTCGCAGTCGACTCGTATCTGATTGACGGGCCTTGGATTGTTGCGGCCGGTCGATCTTAATAAATTATTTTAATACCATTGATAGATTTTAGTGTGCCTGCGTAACGGATCGTTTCAATGCGAACGAAGGTGTAAGACTTTGATCGAAACGTTCGGCATCGCGGCGCGTAAACAACGTTTTCGCCATAACGATTTGCAGCTTTCAGATTCGGCACTAGCCATTTTGAACGTTTCAAATAGCCGTCACCGAATGGAGTACCGATTAGAGTTTTTACTTTCGGATTCGATCCGAGAAAAAAAAAAAAAAACGAAAGCCCCGGAATATGTTTTTGAAATGTTTTTTTGACCATTTCGGCTTTATGGTTTCGTCGTCGGTCAACGACGGTTTTCGAAATATTTTGATAAAAACGGATCGCGTGGAACTGCGCATGATAAAATTTCGCGACTACAATCGTATTCGACGGATCATACCTGCGGAAATCCCTGCTCCAACACGCGTAGATGACCGGGTTCATGCCGCTGTTGATCCATCCTAGCCACGCGACCACGGACGAGAGCAGCGGGTCCTTGAACACGCAAGAGACCTCGTCGCAGAACCCGGACAGCAGGTTCACGACGAAGAACGGCAGCCAGCACACGATGAACACGCCCATGACGATGCCCAACGTCTTGGCCGCCTTCTTCTCGCGCGACAACTTGCTCAGCTTCCGGCTCAGCGAGAAGTTTTTCTGCAGCTGTTGGGCGCGCGTGGAGTAGCCGGCCGCGGACGCCGAAGTGGTCGTACCGCCGCCCCGGTGTATGCGCAGCGTGAGTTCCATGCGACCGCCGCCGCTGCCGCCGCCTCCGCCGCCCCCGGCCCCGCCGCTGCCGCCACTGCCGCCACTGCCGCCGCCGCCGCCGCCGCCGCCGCAACCGCCGCCGCAGCCGCCGCCCCCGGCACCGCCGCCCGACGACGGCGTGGACGACGAGAGCACTTTGGTGCCCAGCCGCTGGCAGCGGGTCTGCGTGACGGCCGCCGTGTAGATCTTGTAGTACGTGAACACCATGACCAGCAGCGGCACGTAAAACGATATGGTCGACGAGAATATCAAGTAACCGATGCTGTTGGTGAACGGGCACGTGTTCACGGGCACGGGTTCGGCGCGGACCAGCCGCCACCACACGATGGCCGGGAAGCTGATGACGCTGCTGCACACCCAAACGGCCGCGATCAGCCGGTACGCCTGTTTCCGGCTCATTTTGGTCGGGTACGTGAACGGGTCCGTGATGGCCCAGTACCGGTCCAGCGAGATGACGCACAAGTTCAGTATGGACGCGGTGCTGAACAGCACGTCTAGCGACCGCCAGACGTCGCACGCGTTTATGCCGAACGTCCAATAATGGTCGAACACCTCGTGCACGGCGCTCACCGGCATCACGACCAGACCCACGAGAAAGTCGGCGAACGCCAGTGACGTGATGAAGTAGTTGGTGGCCGTGTGCAGGTACCGTTCCCGGACAACGGCTATGATCACCAGACAGTTTCCGAACACGGTCACCATGCAGAACAGCATCAGCACCACGAACAACGGGAACCGTTCGCCGGACGTCAACTGCACCCAGTACTCGGCCGACGCCGCGACCGCGTCCGTGCCGTTGACCGCCATCTCCGTGTAGTTCATCGCGTCCGCACTCCGAAAGGTTCGCACGAGTTGACCGCTGCCGCAGTCCGCCATCGTTCCGCCCACTCGCGGTCACTGTCGGCCGGTCACTGTAATCACTGTAATGACGCATCAATAATTAGTTTTTAGTTTTTCAATTTTTACAGTTGGTACTTATTATGACGTTATTCGCAAATAACAGAATCATTTTAGAAATCTCCGCTACTGGATGGAACTACTTCGGATTTTTTAGGAACCTTTTTGGACAAATCTCTCTCTATATCTCTTTTTCTCAATGGTTTCAATCCGAAAATCGGTTTACAGCCAATTTTCACGCTTTTTTACTATCAGCTTTCTTTTTCATTTGCACATATGAATCGCACCCTTATTCTCTTTTTAGCCGTTGGATGTATTCTAGTCTTGCGCTTCCTCTACGATTCTCTCCTTCCACAATTCCTTCCACAATTAGTCTCAGTAATCCTTCGTGCCAACTTATATGTCCTGTCCATTCATTCCGTCTTTTTACCGTACTTTTTCAAAATAGTTTTCCTTCCAAAATTTTTTCAAGCACCTCCTTATTAGTTATTCTGTCCATTCAGCTAATTTTCAACATCCTTCTATAAAATCAAATTTTTAGGGCATAACCATTTTCGACCGAAATCGCACTCCTCTCTGTTCAAACAAACCATAAATATGTAGGTGAGTAAGATTTCTAGTGAAAAAGATAATTTATAATAATAATATGAGAAAATAAAAATGTATATTTTCAGAAAAAAACCTCAAGTACCTATTTTTTTTTCAAAACCTTTTTAGCGTTTAGCGTTCACCCTAAACAGTAACAGTAGTTTTAGTCGGTCACAAGAGCTGATACTTATAATTAAATACCAAAATAATAAATATCAACGGATTTTCATTACTTTATCGCAGCTTCATCGCCATTGATTGAATTGTTTAAAACTATAAGCGGGTATACGACATGTTAACATAAAAATACTATTTATAAATCTTTTTTATGTGTATAAATTAAACTTTCCTTTTTGAATATTTTATACTTTCCAATGTGTACGACACGCTTGGGTTACTTAGTAATGTTTTGGCCGAATTGAATTGGATGAAAATTGAATCGGCCGAAAAGAGAAGTATACGGTTTTGATCGAAAAGGGTCTCGCCCCATCTCGAAAGCTTCCAAAATCACACGGACAAATCGCGTTTGGCTGACTTTAGCAAGTAGTTTACTTAGAGTGATTACAGAAAACTACTGAAAATCGATATTACACATAGTTTACTGTCGATCCGCAACAGTTATTTTTACGGTCATCGTTTCCACGTCAAACATTTTATTTTCGTTTTCGCCAAAACGAAAAAGATTCGATTTTTGTTTTCCGCCACATCTTTTTCTACTTTTCTAAATTATAGTTTAAGTATTTAGGGGCCACCGCGAAAAGGTACAAATGTCTAACAATTCAATTATATTTTTAATTTTTGTTAATATTTTTTTGAATAACTATTGTTGCACGATTTTTTTTATAAAAAAAAAAAAAAAAACGCGTATTCCAGAAAAGGTTTCCTTTGTCTATATTCGACGAGTGCGAATGATTGTTTGAAGTATTAACAAGTCTCTTTTTTTTTCTCTCTGTTCTATTATCACAACTAATAGTATTATAATTACTATACTTTACATGCACTGTCGTTTACACACAATACTTCAATATCAAACGGTTTATCCCGAATCCCGACATCCAACTATAGCACTGGTTATAGATTTATATTTTTATTACGACCAGGGGTCCTCGGACAATAATAATACGGGTAAAAATAGAACACGCGGACAATTTTTTTTTTTTTTTTTTTTTTTTTTGTTTTGACGGAAACGAGAATTAATGGAAATGAAAATCAAGATTTCAGACGGAAACAACGATGGGACGTCCGTTTGTTTTCTAAAGGGGTCGTATACGGTATCCAGCTACAGAGAAAGGGACTCCGTCGGATACGGATTTGTTTAATCATTATTGTTATTATTTTTTTTTACGCGTCAGTGTTACGATCGTCCGCACAATAATTATCGACGCGGTCCTCGGACAATAATAATACGGGTAAAAATAGAACACGCGGACAATTTTTTTTTTTTTTTTTTGTTCAACACCGAGTGGATATTTTCATTATTATTATTATTGTTATTTCTATGGAAATGTCCCGTGCACGTATATTTTACAATATAACTTACCCCGCTCGATTATCAATAAACCTAATCCCTTCCTTCCCCGCCATCCCCTCCACCTCCTCGAAGCACACGTTATTCAACGACTACAGTCCATAAAATATAATAATATTCTTCGGGTTTTTCGTCTCGATTATATCGATTTTATTGCAAATTTACATTTGTTATTCGGTGCATCACCAGTGTAGTTGTTTTTGTTGTTATTATTGTTGTTGTTGTTGTTGTTGTTATTGTTTTCGTTCGAATAATGCATTGTTTACCGAGTGTACGGAATGAGTGATTGAAAGATCAAAACTGGGTTAAGTAAGGTTTTCATTCGAGCTCGATCCTATGTAATAATATATTACACGAGTATATATTGTCACACCAAAAACACTTCGTTATAACTCCGTGTAAAAAAAAAAAAGCCAAGTTAAAAAAAATTGAATTCAGCAATGATTAAATCTTTAAAAGATGTGATATAATATGGAAACTAAGTAAAATCCCGTTTTATAATATTACAAATACCTATGACGACAAAATGAGATCAATTATTGTAAAGTTAAATACTTGGTTAACATATTGTTTAACTACTTGGCAGGACGTGTATATACATACTTGTGTATATAGTGTATACTTAAATAAATACAAATAAGTAACCACTATAGTAAATTTCGTAAATAAATTAATAATTTACAAACAATATGTTGAACTATGTGTATAACTTTACAACTAATCTTATTGATCGTCATAGGTACTTTCTAATGTTATAAAATGGCATTTTACTTAGTTTTCATATTATATCACGTCTTTTAAAGATTTTATTGTTATTAAATTAAATTTGTTACAACATAGCTTTTTTTTTTTTTCTTTTTTTTTTTTACACGGAGTTAAAACGAAATGTTTTTGACGTGATTTTTTTCCGAAAAAAAATTAGCTGTTATTTTACTTTGTTAAGCCTGAAAATGAATTTTGAATTTGAAACTAGTCGTTAAATATAAATCTAATAACAGAGGGTCCGGCGTCGTCCTCGCCGCAGCAACGAGAGTAGACTTTTTACGACACATTCGTCGCGTATGAAAAATCGGACTTGAAAGTACTTGTACATTTTCGGTTGTAACTTTTCATCCATCGAGCCAATCTACTTGCGAGTTCCCCTGTTCCCATCTGCGCGATATTTCTGATCGATTGATACTTTATATGACCTTATATGTTAAGCCGTTTGACCTGTAGAACTGGCCTATGGTATAAACACAAATCAGCACGATTTTTCAATGTTACAACTCGATTTCCTGTTACCATACGTTAGTGGCCACTACACTATTTTTTCTTTTTTACTTAGCTTCGCGCCACTACCGTCGGGCTGGATATAGTGTAATGAAAATAGACTATTGTTATTTTTAATATTTAATTTTTTAACAAATTGCTTAAGTATTTATTTTTTGTTTTTTCAAGCGGTTTTCATAATATCTGGGAAAAACTGGGATAAAATGTCAGAAAACGGATAATGTACGAAATATATTAGTAAAATATTACGATTTTTTTTTTTCTGTGGACAACTTTTTTACCAGCAATTCACTCCAATTTACAATTACAGCACTTATTCTGAAAGGAAATCTAATTGGGAATAGATACTTAAGGGAGGTTACTTTTCAATTTTCCCAAAAGTTTTCTTCAGCAAATGTGAAAAACCGAGAAAAACACAGGAAAACAGTAAAATTGATATAATATCAAACAAATATTACTGAAAAAACTATATAACGCCTATTCAATTATTTTACCATAATAAGACATATATATTGTTGACAAATTATCACTATTAACTGAACTGTGCTCAGAATCATTTTTTTCGTTAGCAACGGTTTATCGTTGCTTACCAAATTACCTATAACAGTAGCTGCTCCCGTTTTTATTATATTAGGCTTTTTTTTTTTAATAATAATCTAAATTAGTAGGTATTTTAATAATATTATATTTATACTCAAATAAATTTAATTTCTGTTTACAATCTATAATCACTTAATATCTACGTCTACCTCTTTCTCTCTACTACTTCACAGTCTACTACTTCTCTTATCTTCCAAGTAAAAAAAGCATTATATGAAGTTCTGGTAATGATAAAGTATTTGACGAAAAACTTTAATCAAATCAGATAAATTAGTTTTCGAGATTTTTTCTAATATACAAAACGCTAGAGCCAGTGGTGTGAAGATCAAATCTTCTAAAATCACGGTATCTTTGACAACAATTCTATTTATATATATATGCAAAATATTACTAAATGACTTTCTTTTCAAAGTCTTTAAAGGTATTTAAAATCCAGTATTTCCGATGAGAAACTAAAACTGAACATAGAAATGGTTGGGTAGGAGCCGAAAGTCGAAACCATCATAAAACACATCATCGATACTTACACCGTGCACATGGAAAATATCATCCTTCTGACTTAACTTGGGGGATCTGTACGGATGTACTAAACCTTTTCCCCCAACAACATGGTAAAGTTAGTATCTATATTCAAATATTTCCTTGATTCGCCTATAAAACAAAACTCTGATTCATTATCTAGAGTTTGTTTGGTCCAGAGAAACTCGCTAAAAATGTCCAAAAGTACCAGGGAAAATATTGGTATAAATTAATATTATAGCATCGATTTTCGGGAAAAATTTGACAAAAACAGGCGATATTTCTTTAACAGAAAAATCTAATTATAAAATAAATTAACTAGTTTACATTTTCATCGTATAATCAAAATTGTTTATAAATAATTGATTCATTTGCATAAACATTCAATTTGGTTTACGATTCAAGTGATTTTTTTTCGAAATTCGATTTTAATTAGTTTTTCTTAGTACTACAACATTACAATATTATAATATCAGTGATTATTACAATTTACTATGATAGTTTAATTATATTTATGTAAATTTAAAAAAATAAAAAATATATATATATGTATACTTATTTTTAAAAAGATTAAATAATTTTAAATTTTAAAGTTGATCTTTTATTCAAATACACACTCTATCAAAACTCCAATTATATTGCGCTTGCTTTCGTTGGAAATTTATTATTCTCGAAAGTTTTGATCGAAATCAAAATGAAATCTTACTGCCTCTTAACGTTGAAACCGGTGTTTCTCTCGGTGAACGTATTATAATATAATATCATATATACTCGTCGATAGTAATAATAATAAAAAAAAACAAAGTATAAAGACGTGCAGTGTACACAAAAATTCGTTTGCCCAGATGACGTTATAGATTTTATATAGGTATACTGATAACCGTATCATATTCGTTCGGCTGTCACTCAAGAGTTTTAATGACCCGCGGTAATCCGAATCCTAAATCGCACGACAGCAGCGACGGGACGGTAACAAAATGCCCTCTGTTTGATACCTATTATAATAATATTATATGTCCAAAGACAAGCCGCCATAAATCACGCGGCGCATGGATAATATCTTGAGGGGAAAGTGTTCTAATTTTTCTACAATTTTGTAAAATTTGAAAATTATTCATTAACTTTCCACGACCATCACATGCCTAATTATAATACCTTGTCATCTTAATTATTAATGGTACGATTCTCGCGTTGATCTTCTGACCGATTGAAGAGGAATTTATCGGTACGGCTGCGATTCCCCCGGAGAAAAATATTGGCTTAACATCAGCAATATTGGCTCGAATCTTACGTTAAACGTATACTCGGATTCGATTCCGGTGAGTTAACCGTCGACCTGCACTTATAGGCCGCAGCGTGAATATCGTTAGCAGATAGCGAGGACAATATATTATTATGAATGTCGCGGTAAAAACGTAAATAGCGCGATTAGGGTCGTTTGAAAAGGAAACGTTTCCGGGTTGGAACTGACGCGGAAAAGGACAAGAAAAAAGTCACTGCGGTATCCGGTGTACGAGTGTCCGTATTGTGTACAGAGTGATTTTCTTATCGTCGATTTAGGCGAGCCAGGGTTGCGTATGCAATATTTACACGGACCACTTCGTGCGCTTTTCGACCCAAACCCCTAACTCCTTTGTCTCCGAGACTAGTTATGTTTAAGGAGTGGACTTTTTCGCATATGGTTTCCGAATACGTCCGACCGGATTAGTTTCCGAGATATATTACGAATGTCCGAATATCACAATAGTTCTGAATACTCACTGACTGATTTTAGGTTAATGAATCATTAGAAAAATGATCTAGCTAGGAAATTTCGAATTTAGCTGTAGCTCCGACATTTTGAACTTACATAATAGTGTTTGAATATTTAACTTTATACGTATCTCACGTGGGTCATTTGGCTACATTTTTTATTTCGATGGGATTGTATATTATGCAAGTATTTAAGGTCACTTTTGTTTAATTTTCTCCGCAATCATGATTCGAATGTTTTCGAATCATTATTCCATACTATGTTTTTACATTCCGATTCGAAAAGAGAATATTTTTTTCATATTTTAACAATAATTATTTTACGTTTTCGATGCGACTGCTAAAATTTGTTTGAAAAATCAAAACAGAACGTTTACTGCGAAATCTTCGTAGATCAAATCCCCGGAAATCCGTGATAAAAGAATCACTCTGTATACTACTGGTATTTAAGTATGTGTTATTTATTTTTAAGAAGGTCATTTTTTATTTTTCCACAAGTTTTCTTAATGAATTTGAAAAAAAATATGGGAAAAACCGGAAAATAGATACAGTTTTAAAACAATATTATTAAAGAAAATATACAATGAATTATTACATAATTAATTTAATACAGTTTCACGTATATTTTGTTGACAAAGCAACGCTATTAATCGAACTCTATTCAGAATCGTTTTTCGTTAGCAATGGTTAATCATTGCGTACNTATTATGTGTGTGGTTATTTTTTTTTTTCTGAGAACAACTTTTCTATCACAAATCTTGCTTCAATCGAAAAATTACAAGTTCTTATTTTAAATTTGGACCTAGATGACGAATAAGAAAGTCAGTTTTTGATTTTTGTGTAGTTTTTATAATAATTGTAAAAAATGTAGAAAAACAGAGAATGTAAACATTAAAATACTTATAAATAATTAAAAAAGGCAATAAAAGTTTTTATTTTGTTTTTTCAGTTATTTATATAGACATTTGGATTTTTCGCGGTGTTTTACTTAATGTTGGTTATTTGTTTTATATGTGTTGTTTTAATGTTTGAAAATTATACTTAGGGTTCTTCATAAATTGTACTTATTGGAAAAAAAAATACCGAACGTAATGTAGAAGTTTTTTTATACGCGATTTAAGTTCAAATTTTGAAGAATATCGTAAAAATTACGGAATTTCGGAGCATGATGTTTAACCAAATTTTGCTCAGAATCATATTTCGTCAATATTGATTCATCGTTCCCTACGGATACAAATAAAATAACCTTAAATCTGTTATTTCTCCAACTTCCCACATACAACAGTGGCACACCCATCAGCAATACCTATCAGCATTTTTTTAAATCCGGGCGTAGCGAGGGAGCTATTAGTTTTACTAAGATGTTTTTTTTTCTTCTTCTTCTTCTAATCTGAGAACACATTTTTTCTTAGTAAACTTGTTTTGAGTTTTACGTATAGCAAATTTTCTGAAATCTCTAGTTGTCTAGACCGTACTTTTAAGAGGTTATTTTTTGATTTTCTACGCCATTTTTTAAATGAAAGCATTTCAGTAAGAAAAAACGTAGGAAAAAGTACAATTTCACGATTTCATTATTTTTAACACGGATGACGTTTTCTACACGAAAAAATCACAAAATATCTTTTTTGTTTCCTTTTTTATTTACTTTCTAACGGTATAACCGTCAAAACTTTTGAGCATTTTTGAGTATTTAAGGCATTTTAATTTTCGGGAGCTTTTTGCTGTAATTCGGTTATAAGTACACGTAAAGACTTGAAATTTGTTAATAATACTTATATTGGACTTACCTAGACGTGGTAAAATTTCCAAAATAATCGAACGGCTTTTGGGTTTTTTAATAAGCGTTTTAAAATCAAATTTAAACGAAAATCGCGAAAAAAGTTACGGCACTTCCAATTATGTATTGCCGAACCGCACTCGGAATTGTCTTTCGTCAAGCAATAGTTTATCGTTGTTAACAAATATAAATGAAATAACGTTATGTATCCTACTGCCTGGCGGTTTGCTGAGGGGGGGGGGTATAATTTTACTTTAATAAAATTATACACCGTCCGCCCCGGTTAAATATTTCGAGATTCAAAAATCGCTGGCGCACCGAGATTCATTTATTTCTCGTTCAGTACGCACCGTTTAAAATATGCGAGTATATTACCTATACAATTTCTCAATTTTCAAATGTATCGTCGGTCCCAGGTCAATACGTTTTACGTTTCTATTGTTATGCAATTTTCGTTTCCATAATCAATACCATGATTTTCCATGTATCCGTAATTTTGTTTGTTTATGTGGTCGACTTAAGCCTTGCTTCCCTGGAATCAATGATATACTTATATTATGCGATTTTTTTTTTTTCTTCGTATAATTAGTAGGATTGCATGTTTTAGTATCCAGTTAGGTACCCGGCGAATTCAACCGAATAATAGTGGACTACAAGAATGGCATTATAATGTTTACCTATGGGTACTGCGATAAAGGAGGAACGGTATTATTCGAATAACAGCGCACCGTAATAGAAATAACACGTTTGATTATACAAGGAAACCATTAGAATATTCAACTATACAATAATATTAATCAATATATAATGTGTATATACTAACAAATAATCTGAATTACCGGTAATTTTATATACCGAAAGCTTATTATTTAACATCGCCTTTTACATTGCAGGCATAAATAATAGTCGAAACGGAACGGTTCGTAACGTTTTCGAATTGTATAAAATATATATTATTAATAACAGAATTATTAACTTAAAAAATAACTTATAATAAGTATACCCGACTGTAATGCCGTTCAGTTTTATATAATATGCGTACAGACATAAATTATAAAACGTCTGTTCAAAGGAGGTGAAATTCGATAATATTTCGAATATTGTATTTTATTTATCGCATTATATTTTAAAAAAGTGAGAAATAAAGAGAGCGAAAAAAAAAAAAATAAGAAAAACTATTCAAATACTAACGAATAATTATTGTGTAAAAATGTATAAAAGTACTTATTATGCATTATAGGTCATTTTGTTAAGTATTACTGTGGAATTGAATACGGCATAAGTAAAACAAAAACATTATACTTACAATGACTATGCGTGATAATTATAATTCGGCTTACCAGAAAATTCGTTTTTATTATCCACCTCTATAATAATTCAAATTTAAAATTTAAAAAAATCTTATTCAAATAAATTTTTTGTCCATATGTAATATTTTATAAGAAATGAAAACATTAAGAAATGTATGTATTCAACGAATAGTACAAAACAAATTAATATTTATGTTGCACCTATGGGGAAAACAAAGCCGATTCTGTTGATGCTGGCCTGCAGTGGCGTATTTAGGATTTTTTTCTAGAGGACGGTTGACGAACAAATTTGTTTACAGGCCCATGGGAGTTATGCTCCCCACAACTTCTCCTCACCGACTTACAAATAAACGCCTAACTTTTCATAATTTTTTTTTTCTTTTAGCACGCACATTAATATGCAGTTATCGATTTTTATTATAGGTACCATTTATACTTGTACTAGCTGAGTATTTGTTGAATGGACATAATGTTCTGAATTTTTATTTTCACGTGGACTTTTAACACTTTGATTACTTTTATTGTATGAAGTATTCAAGTCGTTTTAATAGTAACAGGCTCCATAATACGAATTTGTTAAAAACTATAAAATATTTAACGAATAAAATATAAACTATGTGAAAATGATAATTTAGTCACTTTAAACTCTCGTTGAATTTTGATTATTTGAGTCACAATAAGTTATCAATTTAAAATCCAAACATTATTTCATAATTTATTTTTTAATATCACGGTGACGGAGTTACGCTGTAGATGACTTCGATTGCTGCAGAAAATTTATTTTATGATTAAAATAGAAAAAAGTATAATAAATTCACAGTTATTGTCCTCAAAAAAGACCACATGCCACCATGGCCACATCGTACAGTAGTTTATAATAATATATGTTTAAAAAATCATGAGAGTGGATCTATCCTTATGATTCGCTCCCATAATTAAGGCATTAGCTGATGGGTATGCCACTGTCGTAAGTGGGAAGTTGGAAATGTAGGATGAATAGAGTTATTTTATTTATATTTGTATGCAATGATAAATTATTAACAACCAAAAACGATTATGAGCGAAGTTTGGATATGCATGCTATGAAATGTCGTAATTTTTATGATTTTCAACTAAATTTTTTTTAAAACGCTTAAGTAAAAAAAAAAAACTACATTACGCTAAATGTTTTATTTTTGTATAACCACTAAGTAAAACTTATAAATCTCGTATTAAATTGTCAAATATATCTGTTCAGTCAAACGATTTTATCTACATAAATCATAAAAAAAACTCAAAATTATCAAATTTCTATAAATAATGAGTTGAATATTTTTACTGTATACTATTTTTACTTATACTGTAGAAACGTCAGTTCTCTACATTGATTTTCAATCGAATTTTAACAAAGTCGAAAATAGTGAAACTTTTACTATGGTACATATGTCCTCCGGTATTCCTACATGTTTTTTGTTCAGTTTTTCCTCAAATATTATGAAAACTACTCAGGAAAGTTAAAACATTGCAACCTCGATACACCAAATATATCTAGAATGCTACAAAAAAGTACTCGTGATTTTTTTTTTCGATCGGCAAGGGATTTCTGATAGAAAAGTTATTTACAGACAGGGGAAAAAAATGTACGCTCGGAATCTAAATAATAAACTTAAAAACAAAACCACATATCAAATACATTTCTATCATAGGTGCGATCAGAATCTATAAAATCGATCGATATGTTAATGTTCGTTAATTGTTAAATTTAAAAACGAATCAAAAGTGTGTACCGCATAGTGTGCATCGACTGGTTTTATTCACTCTACATGTTGAACATGATTTGTCCGGTTTTTTTTTTTATTTTATTTATTGTTATTATTTGAATTCGACGGTTAGGTCTAAAAAACAATGTTCGTCTGTTTTTGTCCGCCCGTCGTATCGTGGACCCACAATATATACTTTTGCTTAAATCGTTTTCAACCGGGTAACCTCTATGAAAATACCACCAGTATAGTATCTGCTCTCAGAAAGTGCCATCGTTGTAAATCGAAGCCAAATTACTGACAGACAAGTTGTCCACAGAAAAAAAAAAAAAAAAAAAAAAAAAACAACAAAATAATAAAGCGAAAACAAAATTATCAAAACGGTTAATAGTCGAATGTAAATTAAGCGAATAATTATATAAATAAAAATGTACGTACAAAAATAAAATGAATAAATGAATCAATGAGTCGCCTGGAGTATTATGATAAGTCTATTATAATTTATAATGTACATAATATTATGATACTATAACACAATAGTGTAATACACTTATCATAATACTCCAGGCGTGGCGCATTGATTCATTTATTCATTTTATTTTTATACATACATTTGCATTTGTGCATTTATTTACTATATTCATTTACTTTATTTAAAAAAAAAAAATAACATCATTGTAAAACCAATACGTTTCTCGCTTCGCTCAGAATCTAAAACATTTTGAACCGTACGATTTCTCCTCACAGAGCTCATAATGTCCGATGGTTTCCAAACGGAACTCGTAAAATAACCGTCCGACCGTGATTCAGTTATCAGCAATAAATTCGGTTTAAAAATCATGTGGACCCTTGAAAATGAGAAGGAAAATATACAATTTTTTTTTTTTTTTTTCAAAGTTTGATGGAACTCGGTTGTGATTAAAAATGAACATAATTATAATATTGTACCGTACGGTACTCGAATAGTGTATAACCTCAAACCACTTCCGTTCGTCTATTTTTCTTTTCTTTTTTTTTTTTTTTAGTTTTCTACGGGAATCCGCACGTACGCGACCGTTTATGTATTTATTGTACGTATCGCGTAGGTATCGAATGTCAAAACTTAAATGATTGATAATATCCGATTGTTCGCAGGTTGTAAACGTATAAAAACCGCGAAATATAATAAACAACTGTATATCCAAACCGAACCGCGTAACAGACACGGGCCAAACCCCCCAGGTGGAAGGTATACAACTCGGGAATAATTTTTTTTATTATTTTCTTTTTACAACAAACTCAATTTTTCGTCGTCTTCCGTTTGCGGATAAGCAAAAACTAAAAAAAAAAATAATAATAATAATAAACCAAAGTTGTACATCCAATCGGAAAGTTCGTCGTCGTCGCCGTGATACCTACGTACTCGTACGTATACACGTACTCTCGATCGCATTATATTTAAACGAGTTTCCCGTATCGTGCGCGGGAATCGCATTGACAAAGAATTACTATCGAATTATTATCCGTGCGGGTATATGACAGTGGCGTACGAGTAAAAAAATGTACCGAACGCACGCCGTCGTCGTCGCCGTTAAACGCGTCCATAATAATACGCGGTTATAGTATGAACGTCATTCGCGTAATTCGGTTCACGGAAAATAATATACGGGAATGTTTACGAAATAAATTATATGGGACTCGCGGATTAGACGGATTTTCTATAAACGTCTTTTTATTTTGTTTCCCCGCCGCCGACCCGCCACGAAAAGAAACCGCAAGTAATAACCTATTGTGGATAGAGAGAGAAAAGAAAAGTTTACTCGATTTCTCTGATAGCTTTTGGATTTTTATTCATTTTTTTTTTTTTTTTTTTTTTTTATTTCTACCGACCGGCGACTGCGATTCATTCGCGGTACGATTTATTATTATTATTATTATTGTCAAGTTTTAAATATAAACTTCAATGCGTATACAGAAAAACTCTTAGCGAAAAATGATGTAAAAAAGAAAAAAAAAAAATAACCGTCTCTTGTTAAATGGTTTTTTTTTTTTTTTTTTATTATTATTATTATTCTTTTCCGTTTGTCCGTTGCATAGGTGTATATTGTTGCGTTCGGCGACAAAGCCGTGATCAACATAACACGGACGCGGTAGGCGAGCGCCCACGCGACAGGGGCCGTTATCGTTTCCAGTAAACGGTGATGATAACGCGCTCCGTGATCGCGGCCGTATCGCATTACGGTTGAACGGCGTGCATCCGAATCGGTCGCGAAATCCGAATCGCGAGACGAGTTTACGGTCAACGTTCCCTGGCGTCGGCAGGCGCCGGGACTGTTTCGCGTGTTCGCTTATGTTTTCGGCGCGTCGTTGAATTCCGTACGCCGCCGCGGAACGTTGCGTCCCGTTGAAACGACGGCGGTTTTCTCTCTTATTCCGATAGTTTTCGCGATATTTAAAATGACGTTTTCGGAAAAAAAATTATAGAAATAGCTGTGCTCGTCACACTCGAATTAAATATATATATATGTTATTGATGTGTAAAAAAAATTAAATGTATCCGATTTTACGAGTAAAAACGCCGTATGATAACCAATCGCTCAAAATAACAAGCTGTTATAAGAACAAACGGTTTTTGTTTTTGTTTTTTTTTTTGAAGGGGTCTCGAGTTTAAAGAGTTGGTAATTTTTACACTTCACGTTTTTAATCGCTTAAATTAAATCGCTCTGGTTCACAAGTAAAATTAATTAATATTTTCTATCCCACACACTTAGACTGCAATATACCTAACATTTTAATATCCGGTTATGATATTCTTATCCGCGCAAAACAAATTGGGTGCTTTTTTTTTTTTTACTTCATAATATAATAATACTTTACACTGCACCTATATATAATATATATTTTTATAGCGGAATTATTGCCAAGAGTTGTCGTGCAGGGTGAGTAAACCTCTAAATCCACCACCTCTAATACAATTATTTATCTGGTCGCTTGCCGAGACGTATTATTAAACGTTGTAGGTTTCCTATACGATGACAGTCGGTAGTCGATAGACTTATAGTGTTATTAACGTGTTTCACGTTAAAACAAAATATAAAAACGCGTGTGCCGCTGTTGTGACACACCCGTGGGAAATTGAAAAGATATGGGATTTAATTCATATCTGTAAACAGGGATAAAGCAATGCTGACGAAAAACGATTTGGAGCGAAGTTCGGCTATTTTAAAAAAAAAAATTTTTATTTTGATCACCAATTACTTATAACGAACTCCCTGGACGATTTATAGATGACAAAAAAGGTCTTTATTTGTTTTTCTATTGGGGCAATATTTCTGGTATGAGACATCGTCCGTAAAAATTTTAAAAAAACACCACGTTTTACATCAAATTTATTAAATATTGCTGTACTATTTAAGAAAAAATATCGTACGATGCCTACATGGTATTTTTTGCAAAATAAACTGTTGAAAACGATTCGTTTTTGCATACATATTGACCGGAAAGGTGGAGTCACTACTTACAGTACTCCGATTTCTGTTTTGAAAAATTATTTGACTTTATATATTTTTTTCTATGACTTGTAGGGAAAATATTTTCATTTATTTTTTCTATGACACTTAAGTATATAAGTTTAGTATAAGAAAAACTGCAAACACATCGTATACTTCAATTTAATTAACAAAATAAAAAAAAAACAATTGTTTTCTAAATAATGCGAACAGGAAATCGAGGAATTCAAATACGTTTTTAAAATCTAAATTTGACAAAAAGTAGTGAACGAATTTTACTCCAGTTTGTTAATCTAAAACGTTATATTGGTCTATAAAAAAAGACCGTGACTTTTCCCCTCAAACGGGTATCGGACAGTAAACTAGTGAAAAATTCGTAAAATTAAGGTGACCAATAAAAGGTAACAAAAACAGTTTTCAAATTCTACGAAATCTGAGACGATTCGGAAAATCGTTTCCAACGCCCTTAACGAAAAATACAGTTTGTCATAACTGAAACCGAAAAGTTTTGTTTATTTTTTTTTTTTTTTTAGTGTCACTTTTATATTGTTTTATCGGATGAACATTTTCCGTGCCACGGTATATATACAGGTGTATATGGTGTGCGGCGGCGATGAAAAATACATTGGCGTCATGATCATATAGTTAGTCGACCGACTTACAAACCGAAAAACGAATACGCTTGGTATAGTCCAACTGTATATGTTATACGTGCAATACCATCTCGATAATTTATTTAAATACACACGGAAAAAACGGTTAAATAATGAATCATTACCAGATCGCTTCAGTATTCTGTTCGAAATGTATGTACCTGAATATAATATGCGTTTCGAACGGAGAACACTTGTGGATTCGAGTTAACTAAAAAAATATAATTATAGTCGTCGGTATGACGGTTCGTTTTTTTTTTTTTTTTTGGTTTCAAAGCGGGTTCTTTTCAAGTCCTATCGAAGAAACGCCAAAGTCGATTTTCGGAATTTTTTTTGTGTAATTTTCTCCACTTTTTTTTTTAAATTTTAATTCGCAAATATGTGTATACATTCTAGTTCGTCGTGTTATATTTAAATATCTTGATTTACTATGATGAAATTTTCTCTAGGTGAATAATGCATACGATCCATTTATTATACAGAAATTAAGCGGTTTAGCAATTATACCATTTAGCAATACTCAAAATTTAATTCACTTGTATTGAAAACTACGCAAAACATACTTAATCGCTTCTCCCCTGGGGCCAAAGATGTACTCACCTTTGTAACAGATATTATGTTCGCGTAACAATAACAATGTTCGCGAGTAATCCGTATCAATAACAGACGCCCCGATATTAATTATTAAATATGATTGAATAATTAATTAATACTGTATCGTTGATTGATATAAAATTAATAAAACTATACGCGCTCTGTGAATGGCGTTTGTCGAATGCGGAAAGCGATAAAAGCGATTCGGTATTTAACTCTGACGTCGAAAATATGATAAACGAATTCTATTTTTTCGTTGTTTGTTTTGTTTTGTTTTGTTTTTTTTTTTTTTTTTTACGGTCACGTCGAAAGAAACGCGTGCTTTCGATCGCGTGCGTTCTTCAAATCGGTCCGATTGCCGGCGTAATTCAATTCATTGACAAAAATATAAAACGTTTATAATACTATTTGTATCTGTAGCTTGGCGCAAGCAGGACCAATGTCACATTTTGTGATTGTTTGGAAATCGGCTTTGAAATTGTAACTCACCGCAAGGCTCCGTGTGTTGTACGTAAACGTTTGTGCAATTTTCAATTTTTACATAAAACCAAAACAATTTTTATTCAGAAAATAAAAAAATTGTACACTTTTTCTTTTTTTCCCTCCCAACCCCCCACCCCCCCCACCCCCCGGAGTGTTTTATTTCATTCAAAAAATCGACATTGGCCCTTCTTGTGCCGAGCCACATATCACCATCAAAATCACTAATATTACTAATAAGTACAATTATTATCGGAATACCTGCTGCGGTCTGGATTTCAGTGTTCGTTTCGCGTATCCATCGCGTATCCCGTCGATACGGGCCGCCGCCGCCGCCACCGGTTTCCGGACCAGAGACCCGTCCGCGAGGGGTGTCGACAATACCGGTAACGCGCAGGCGAGCCTGTGTCGGGTTCGGTCCGGTGGTTCGGGTACCGCGCTTTGCGATTCGGGTTTTTCCGCCCGTCACGGTGATTAATCGCGGACTATTGCAATCCGCGTTGGCGCGCGTCCGCCAACGGTCCGTTTCCGTCCGTCACGTCCGTAAATGCGCGCGTTAAACGCAAACGTACAACGGGCGGAGGAGAATGATTCACGACGCGCGAACGGGGTGCCGTCGGCCGCGGACTCGTCGCGCGCACTTTGCCGGCGTTGAGGTCAGGGGTCGGCGGGTTCGGCGTTACCACCGCGACGCGATATTTTACGACGACGACGACGACGACCACAACAACAACAACAACAACAACAACGACAACGACAACAACGACAACAACAACGACAAAAACGACAGAAATAACATCGCGACGGACGGAGCGAAGTTTCGGTTCCCGCCGTTTCCCGCGGCGTTGTGCGCTCGCCCCGGCAGTATTCCGCTAAGCGTGTACAACGAGCGTGACGCGCGCGGCCCGAGAGCGCACTGCGCCGGGACGACGACGTCGCCGCCGCGGTATACGATCGGCCACCGTCATCGTCGTCGTCGTCGTCGTCGTCGCGTTCGGCGGTGTCGGCGTGTATGTGTGCGAAAAGCAGAGAACTCGGGGGACTCGGGGGACTCGCCACCGTCCCCGAAAACTTGCCCCGAACGCGCCGGGAGCCCTGCGCGGCAAATTCTTTCATTGGCCGGGTTTACTTTTCCCGCGCCGCAGTGCCCGGCCGAGCCACTATAAAACGAGCTGCTTGATTTTTATTTTATTTTTACGATTTTCGCTTGAAAAATGGGGACGTTCAAAATCACCAGACTAGAGAACAACGTTCTGGTTTTCAAACGAGTTGGACTCCCTACACTTGCAATCGTTTATCTACTAAACCGACGTATAGACGCCACTAACTGACGTTATCGGGAAATGAATTGTCAACGAATTATCACTGTTATGTTTAGCGTCCGTTTGGGCAAATTGGGTATTTAAACATCGGCGGACTCATTCTCGCGCAATCCGTGAACTCGATCGCTCCATAATATTATCTTTTGCCAGTTCACTTAAATGCAAATCCCTGTCTCGAGCCTCCATTTTTTTCTCAACAATTTTTTTTTTCTCTCCGGTTCTTCGTTTCTTCAACGGTTATCAAAATGTAGTTTTTCGACACCTAGACCGTCCCGGTTTTTCATTCATTTTTTTCGAAAAATATACAAAAATACACTACTAAAATTAACTGTACTAGTTAATTTTACTGGACTGTGTATAGACGGCTACTAAACGCAATTATAATACTCGATTTAGCAGTTCGCTTCAGTAGTTCGGCCGAGTATAGGAACTATCTTAGTGTAATCCCGGCTTTACGAACGTACACGACACACTGAACTATATTTTTACGGGTGGAAAACAGCTAAAGTACGCTCAGAGACTCGTCAGCGACACGCGTCGGGTAAATTTTCTCTGAAGACCCGAAAACCATCGTGTTGCTTTATAATAACGGGTACGCGTGAAATCAGTGATGTACCCAGGATTTATCAATGGGGAGGAGTTCAAGGGTTTTAGGGGGTGTACAATCTTCTTAACCTTATCTGTAGCTAAACAAATTGGAGAGGTGGATTACAACTCCCAAAACCTCTCCCCTGGCTGCGTCATAGCGTATAAGTTTGGTAAATTAAATTCGTTTGGCTTTTTGGACTGCACCGTTTGCATAGGTGGGTCATTACTATTGTACGCTATAAGTGTGAGGGTCTATAAGACGGGAATTCGGAAATGCAACAATAAAAAATACCGTTACAAACAAAATCCTACAGTAATTCTTATGGTGGAGCAAGTTTAAATTGGCCGCCTTTAAACGCCGTTTATATAATACAATAATAGATATAGTTTCTATCTAGTATTCTTGAGTATGATCGAAAGAACCCAGAAGAAAAAGTCCAAAACCCAAGTGTTGTCGGAAATCTGCGTCTTTTCTGGTAATATGGTGTGAAAGTTATGGAGCACTTTTACTAACAAATAATGGACACACACACACGCACTCACACACGAATACAGTCAGATAGATTATTATTTCTCGCTCAACTCAGATTGTAAAAAGGCTTTGGAATATCGTTCGGGCGGGGGGGGACTGAAATCCCGAAGCGTTGACTCGCTGAAAAATCGCACGCGCACACATTTCAAAGCTCCAAGTGAACATAAAAAAAAAAACTTTTTTTTTAACACACATTATACTATACCAACCGAAGGACTGCATAAAGAAAACGTCCTAAATGTAATCTATTGATTATTGTATAGGTAGTGTATAGATACGCACGAACTAACATAACGACCGATAAACGTTAATTAAAATGCAAAACAAAGTTTCAATTTTTAAGTATATTACCTATTGCGTAATTACTCGAATCGATTGATGTATTTGAAAAGCGTTGTCTTAAATCACCGCCCAAAAAAAAAAAAATAATAATAATAATAATAATAATAGTGAAATTGTCACACAATATTATTATAGTACGGCAGCCGTATTGGCGAGCCATTTTGGTATAAATGATGTTCTTGCGGGGTGCAGGAGATGGAGAGACCTATTGTTGTCAGTGACTAGAAATTGCGACCTTTCCAGTCCGGAAGTTTTACACTCTCTCCGCGGCGGTAAATCTGTCTAGCGAGAATCGCATACCTGTGATTCGATCGATTGACGGTGTCCGTACTCTAGAACTTGAGTAAAAAAAAAAATGCCCTTTTTTATAGGGGAAAGACAGTTCAGCAGTCCGAAGTACGAATTGGTTAGGTTATAGTATAGAATTAATTAACACAGTGAAAAGTATACGAAGTTCTGAAATAACTTTTATTCTGCTCAATATTTTTAAGATATTTTTTTTCTTACAATAATATCTTCTGGAGCATTGCACTTTAATTCCTTTAATTTATATTTATTTTAAAATTAAAAATAATATAATAAAAAAAAAATTGTTTTTACAAACTCCAAGATAGCTGTTTCATAAATCGTTCCAAATGTTACAATATTCACTAATGAATGGACGATTCATTTCCTATAATTTTTCGAAATTTACTGTGGTTAAAATTGTTTTTATTCCTACAGCTCAATAATATCAATCGGTAATTTATTCATGAAAAATAATTTTGTTAATGATTTTAATAAACTTCAAAAATTGTAGAGATTCATCGTCATTTAGTTTTGAAAAAAAATATAAAATATATAGGAATCATAGTGCAAAGCTCCAGTAATAATTATCGTGAATCATAAAAACTTAGAAATATTGAACAGAACAAAAGTGATTTCAGGTGTCTGGTCTTCATGTTACAGCCTGTATAACTGGATTTTAATTTGTTATTATTATTTTTTGTCATCACTTACAGATTACAATTTATTATTAATATATTGATATATTTCGTACATTAACAATAATCAACTAAGACCGGATTGCTTAAAACGATTGTAAATTAATGTTAACTACTCGTATGGTTACCGGTCAAAAAAAAAAGGCGTTATTTGTTTGACGACATCAAAAAAATACTAAATAATGATTATCATAGTCTGTAAAAACATTTTTGTTATTTAATTGATAAATATTAATAATTCATAACTATTTTGATTTTGAAAAATTGTTGTACCTAGGTATATTAATATTAAACTGTTATATTTGTATAATTAAAAATGACTTGTGATAAAGACCCCTATATCAATTTGTATTAATCGGATAACCGCGAGAAAAAAAAAATTAGTTTCTTTGTAATAAATCACCAATTTCTTATTATCATATTATCGACCGATCCGTATGTAACTTTTACAGTTCGGTCAGGACACGAAATCGGACCTCTAAGTTACAGGTCCTATACTGTATCGAGCACCATTTAAATAGGTACATTGAAACTTTTGAATAGAACGAATTATTTCAAGTGTCAGATCACCGTGGGACACCCTGTATACCTACGATACAAAAATTTATAATACGACAGATAAATCTTTAGAATATTTTTGAAACTTTTCCCGTGCATCCGGTACGCGATACAACGCTACTACCTACGCCCCAACTGTCACGCGCGCACACACTGTGAAACGCAGTCCGATAACCGAAATCAAATCCGCAAAAAAAAAATAGTAACAAACGTTCAAAAATTGATTATAGTTGTCCCAATTGACGAGTCGCGGACGATATCCGGCGCGCGCGCGACCTCCACACACGCATTTGATGTTGGGAAAAATACAATTTGTTTGTGTTCATATTATTATCGTGCACGAGCGGCGAAACAGCAAACAAGTTATCACACGCTACAATATTATAACATTCAAATTTACATTCAATCGTTATCGTTATTCACTTGGTAAACATTTTAAATTTTCGACCCACTTTGTAACACAAAGTTCCATACACACAGACACAGTTATCAATACGGGCAATGGAAAATAGTTGAACCGGGTACTACTTATTTCGGAAGTCCAAGCCCATACATTTCTATGGAGACGAATGACATTTTTGAAAAACTGGGACGTTATCGTGATATTAGGATTAGTAGAAGGTTTATTGGAGAATTTAGTCTCTAAAATTATAATTAAAAAGGCACTTGTTTGCTATAGCCCCGACATTACGCCGCAATAAATTGATCGTCTCGCCAAACAATGCGAATTGAATAAACGAAAATTTGCAGCAAGTAACATAATGCCGTTATAGTTATACCTACGGTTTTGTTGATCTGGACACAGGGCCGCACGCCCGACACATCGAGAGGTTGTGGAGTTCTGTTAAATGAGGAACTAAATAGCGCCGTGGAAACAAAAGAAATTTTCTGGAATAGTACTTGGCAAAATTCATGACTCGGAAAACAAACTGCGTTCGTAACCATCTTCAAGGACATTTCCGAGTTCTGGCTTCCGTCCTAAAAGAAAATAATAATTTTTATATTATTTCACAATGTGATAAAAATTTAACTATATTTTACATTTTATACTATAATGATAGGTAAACAATTTATAAAATTATTATTTATTTGCGTGTCGGGCGGAGCGAGAGCAAAACAAGTACCGCGAAAAATAACGCGGAAAATCGCGGGCGTTTCGGGGGGATTCTTCGCCGTTTCAATTTTTATACCGCGCGCGCGGGCCCGCATTTCCTTGCGTCGCGGGCCTTTATCGGATTGAAATTGTAAATTTTTTTTTTCTCCGGAACGCAGTGTGTGTACGCGCCAGCTAAAGGCCCTGTCATTCATGGCAGTCAATTGGTCGTGATTCACGGTCACATATGAATACATCGATATATCGGTGTACACGGTGAATCGCGAACGCCGTTATTCTGTTCGGATCGTTGAAAAACACGTGCCGTCCGACAGACGGGTGTGTACTTAGCGGTGTTTTTGTTGACGTCTGTCGGCTGTTTAAAACGAACCAGCCGCCCGCCCGGCATTGCCCGCACCAAAATAAATTCAGTCCAACAACGAACTAATAGTAACCGGTTTCCAGTGTAACTGCTGTTAGCTGTGCGTATACTCGTGACAACTATTGAGGATGACCTTACACGTATTAATTATTTGTTTCGGTTGTTTTCATTTTTTTTTTTTTTTGATTATTTCATCCGTATCACCATTCGCCGAGGTAACAGATAGATCCACGAAAGTCATTCGATTTTCGTAGCGGAAATATCAATAACTCCGTGTCACTGTATGATACCCCCTTAGGAGATATTTCGATGGGGGGGAGGGCAAACGTGGACTCTAAGTTATTCCTAGACCAGAACTACATCCACGCAAAGTTTCAGCTCAATCCGTTCCGCAGTAGTTTTGACGTAACAGACATCCGTCCAAACAAACTTTCACATTTGTGACTACTGCGGTTTATCATTAGGAAATAGACATAAATATATTAAGCGTTTACGCGTACAAAATAAAATAAAATACACCATCGCCGACTTCTCTGTAGGCCTGTGTACATTTCCGCGGAACATTATTTCGGTGTGCGTCACGTGAAGTTTATCCAGCGTTACCGCTGTGAGCGACCCGAAAATATTCTTCGTACCGTTCGGTTACGAAACTTGAGGTTTTCTCTACTTTCTGTACAGTTCAACGCGCGTTTATTATAATTTATGCGGCCGGAATAAACGCTCTAGACGGCGGTGAATACCGTATCAATATCCGTCGCGTGGATCAGAAGGACTCAATGGCACAAACCGACAAACGCCGAAAAACCGACGGCTCAGTTTTATGCTGTTGCCGCTGTTGCGAAATAACCGTGACTTTGGTAACGGCCAATTCAAACGCGAAACAGAAACTAAATAAAAAAAAAAAAAAAAAATGGGTTACGGGCAGCGGAATCGGCGTTTGTAAAGGGCGTCGTTCATGAACGCGCGTCGTTCACGCGTTCACGCGTCCATGGTTAGTGAACGGTGCGCGAACGTCACGCGTCGTTTTTGTTTTTTCGAACAGAACGCGAACGCGAACAACGTTTATGTTTTTTAACGAATTCGAACGATTTTTAAGACGCTCGGATTATTTACCGTTTCAACGGACGCGCGCGCACGAAATGTCTAACGCGTCGATTATTTCGTTTTAACAACGACAACAATAATATTTTCGGATTTGCGGATTTGCAATTGCCGTTGTACATTTCATTTCATTCGGCGACGGATCGCGTAAAAACAAAACGCGCGGAATCCCGGCGGGCCCGGCTCGACGCCGAACGGCTGTAACGTTGTTCCGCTAAATCGGTACGCCCGATCTAACCGGCCAATTTATAATGAAAACGGACGGTGGAAAGCGTACGGCGGGTCGTGCGGGCTATGACACGCGTCGTTTACACGTGGCTGAGTACTCGGCCGAGGGAGTCGACTCGGCCGAGCGCTGTCCCGTGTGCACTCGAGGAACCAGTACTCGGCCTAGTAAACGTCGGGGACGTGTAAAATAAGCGGGCGGGCGAATAGAAACAGTTTCCATTCGCCACTACTCGACTGACGCCACTACCGAGGTGCACGGTACTCGGCGTGTCTAAACCGCCGGCCGAGTGTCGCGTGACGAGTAGTTCAGTAGTTGTGAACGTGTACGCGGTGGTAGTCACTCGGCCAAGCAAATACAATGCGGGTGTAAACGCTTCACTCGGTCAATTCCGGTACCAAACCGAGCAACATAACGAGTGACACGGCCGATTCGATTGCCGGTAATTGCAAAACGACGCGAATTTAATTTTAATTGTGATCGGCGCGAAAACGTGTACATGCCCACTGCGCGGGTGAACTGTTCGTGAAAAAAATTTAAAAAAAAATATTAAACGAACGCGGCGTTCGTTTTTTCAATAGAACGTGAACGCGAACCGGTTTCTTTTCCGAGCAACACTGAACGCGAACGTGAACGAATTCGTTTTCTCAACGAACGTTCCGAACACTGAACAGAATGGTTTTATCCCGGATGAACGATTGAAATAATCGTTTCGAGTGACAACGCGTGTCGATCATTACTGCGCGTGGCCAGTTATGACTGTTAATCACTGTGATTGCCGTAAAAACCAAAAGGTCGTAAAATCTCAGAAAAAAATTTCACGGACCGCACGGTCTCGAGCTGTAAAAATCCGGAAAAAATAAACATTCGAATCTTATAATTTCGGACCGTATTCTCCCGGAGAGAAAAACAAAATGCGCAATAATAAGCGCAATCTGTCGGTTATTTTATCTTTTGTATAATAAATATGACGTAGTAGTACACATATCATAATACTCCAGACGACCCATTCATTTATTTATTTATTTAAAGTAAATAATTCTTAAAATATTTCAAGTTCTGAGCGTAACGATGATTATTATACTGATTTTAAAATGATGCGGACATTTTTTCTTTTATCTTTTTTTTTATCAGTCTTCTATCCGAAATCTTGTTTCGATCAAAAAACACCAAAGGCCTTTTTTTTATTAAATTGAATCTATAGTTGGTTTATTGAGGAACTCAATTTTTAAATTTTTCACGTGTTTTTTTGTTAATTCGGAAAAAACCTAGGAATAACGAGGAAAACTTACGGAATTAAAATAGTTTCATTATGTGTTAGTGGTCTAGAACTTCAAATATCGGTTTCAAGAAATATTTACGCTTTAACAATTTTATATCTTATTTTAAAATCATGAAAACTCGGCTAAACTTTATGTCAAATTAAGGTAACATGAACATTTTAATTAAAAAGTAAACACGTTTCCAAACAAATTTTTCATTCGACACTGTACACGGGCAAAACCATACGGGGGACCTAGAAAATATAAAGAGCTGATACTAGGGACCGGCATACCACTGTTTTGAGCGGAAAGTTGAAAAACTAGGTTATAAATTTATTTAATTTATAACTGTGCGTGACGATAAACCATTGCTAACGAAAAACAATTTCGGTTAAACATGTTTTGAATGGCTGTGATATTAACGATTTTCGTCAAAATTTGGTATAAAAACTGTAATATAAAAAAAATACTACATTACACTCAATGTTTTTTTTTTTTTTTTTTTGGTCATTAAATATGACTATAAATAATGAACCTTCTGTCGTATTTTAAAGCTTTTCTGTTTGATTTAAAAATTTTATCCGTGGAGTACTTACCAAATAAAAATTACATAAAAACAACTAGCAAAATTAAAATGTCTATACATATATATATATATATATGACTTTATTGGTTTGACAATTTTACCACGTCTTGAAAAAGCAAATATACATTTTTTGTCAAAATTTCAAGTCTCTGCGAATATTTTTAACTGAATGACAGCAAAAAACCCAAAATTGAAAATAATAAAAACATTGTTTTCGTAAATTGTCTCGTTATTTCTAAGTTTTTTTTTTTCGGTTTTGCTCGGTTATTAAAAACTCCAAGAAAAATTAAAAAATGAAATTCTCGGGTCAACAACTAGATTAAAAATTCAACAATAAAAGTCTGTTGTTGTTTTTCTATTGATACAATATTTCTGGTAGAGAACATAAGCCGTAAAAATCGAAAACAACGAAAACGGCGCGTCATAAATTTTGCCGTTAGTTTTACCTGTAATTTTCTCTCTGGTTTTCCAATTATTTGAAAACCCCTTGAAAAATCAAAAAATAACCTATCCAACGCAACAAATTAGATAAAATTTACTATCAAGAAAGCTGCTACACTTGATACATCGGAGTCAGTTTTCCGGGAGAGAAATTGTTCGCAGACCGAAATAAAAAAAAAAAACACACACACACACCATAGTGAAACCAATAGACCCCTCGCCGCACCCCGAATCTGAAACAACGAAACCGGGAATTATAATATTTGATATTCGGAAAGAGGGGCTGAAGTCGGGGACCTCAGAATTCGTAAAAATAACAACCGCCCACACGACGGCGTTGTCCTCGGATTGCTCCGTTTCAAACGTAAACACACGTACAGTTACGGGTCGTAACGTTTGTTTGCCTATCTGAAAACCCGTACGAAGTTCACAGTATAACGTTCGTTTTGAAACGTCGATTGGGTCGTAATATTATAGCGCGCATTTCCGTTATTTCCAGTGCTCAAAAATCCGAGCGCTGACGACGGAGCCGATGAGACCGCCGTACTCGACCCGTAATCGACTGTGGCGCCGATGGGTCCGGCGGTTTTCATTTCGCGCCCGTCGCGTATGGAACGGGACGAAATTTCCGGATTTCCAAACGTTACAACGCGCCGTGTATTATGTGTTACCGTGTGCGGCGTACCGAACGCGATCGGAACGGTTCGTCGTTTCCACGGGGTTCAATTCGCTCGGCGTGTTCGGGTGTTTTCCTTTTGACAAACACGCACACTCTGTACAGCGTTGTGTGCCGTACGTGTACGGAAATGCGAAACGCGCCACCGAACCGAACCGAAACGAACCGACCAGAGAGCGGTCCGCAGAAACCGGTGGGCGGGTTTTGTCGTAATGTTATTGTCGACCGCGTACGAGTTCCGCAACGGGTGTCGGAACAGTCCGGCGATTTCGACATTTGGGTGTAGGCCCCGCGGCGTCGCGTCCGGTCGGATCCGTCTGGGCCGGTGTATGCGATCATACCCGGACGGATAATGGTAATTGGTGATTTGAGCCGTTATCCGGGACGACCGATCCGACCGTCTACGGACAAATTTCTGGTGTGAATTCGCACGTTCATTAGAAACAAATTAAGAAATGCCCGGGTAAAATATCGGTTCACGTCGATATTATCAAGTCTCGCGCAACCGTACGACCGTTTTGTAAAATATAAATGTGTCCCCGCAGTCGGAAACCGATCGACTTCGTAACGAACCGATCACCAC